AAAAGATCTGTGACACTTTTTGTGAACAACCCACTCTAACACTACCAATGTCTCCTGAAGGTATTGTCTGAAAATGTATACAACAAATGTGTGTCTCTTTTTAAATATCACTCCCGATCCCTATGACCAAAGTGATTCTGAGAGAAAATAACCTGGTTCTTACCTGCAGGTATGGGTCAAGCTCAAAACCCACTACATACTAAGATGCTATTCATGACATTTAGTCACTTCCTGTCGGTGAATACCCATGCCTTTTAAATGTCACACCTCAAGTTTATAACGCAGATATTTAGTGACAAATTTGTTGTCTCAAAGTCCATGTTAAAATCACCCTGATGGCATCACTATGACGTCATTATCAGATTTGACAAAGCTATTGAGCAACAGAAACATTATGCAACTAAATAGCTCTAATAATGATCTTATTATACACAGCTGGCAGAGGTTCCCTATAAAGATTTTAAAAGTCATGTATAATTTTGTTGTCACTACGGAGGGCATTTTGCAGTGTGTGTTGGGTATTATAGCAAAAGTGGCAAACAGCATATTTCTTATTATTGCTCTTTGTTTTAAAAGCAGTGTCCCTGTGTCCAGACACTACCAAATGATCAGATTGCTCTATTGTAATTTGACAATTAAAAACTTTGTGGGGAGGGCACATATTCCTGCTCAGTTTGTAAACTAGAGGAATGCTGCAGATGTTTTTTCTCAGTGGGAATCCTCCATATCAGTGTGAAAGGCGTTTTCTGTTCCCATGAGTATGCCATTCCTGTTAGACTGAATAATCACTAAATAGATGGGAAAAAAACACTGCGGCCCCAATCCCATCACAGTGTTGAGAGTCAGAGCTGAGCCAACTCTCGACAACTGGAAGCTCAAATTACTGGCTCACAGCTTTTTCTCTACTCTACAAACTCTTTCCCTTCGGAATATCTGTTGGTGTGAGATGTTAAGACGGCTTTTACATTTTTTTATGATTTTCATGAATTCAAATCATACACATACATTTGTATTTCTAATTTTCTTGACTGCAGTTGAGGATGAGACCTCTGAAAAAATTGTGAGGTTTTAGCAAATCTTTCTTCATGAGCATACTGTACAGCAGAAAAACAAAACAAAACCATGAGATCCTGCATGAGACAGTGATGTACCCAGCCTTGTGACCAAACCCTGGCACAGTGCAGTCTTTTTTTTCATGGCTGTCTTGAATAGGCCAAAGAAAGAGAACAATCTGTTCTCTGGGAAGTGGATGAGGAGCCCCAAGCTGCTGGAGTTTGGCCTTTCTTCAATCTAGGTCAGGTTTCACAAAGGTGCCAGGATGGCAGACTTGAATGCCATCCTGGTTTTTTACATGTGCATCTTAGTATGTCTAATCTCCTCCTCTTTGTTGCTTACCCATCCCCCCCCCTTAGTCTTCACCACTCTTTCTTATACAGGGCCAGACTGCCTGAGGAAAGGAAGCATGTACTTTTTTTTATCAGGTCAGAGGGAAGCGCACGAATGCAGGATGAATAAAAGGAGCCTATTAATTACTTGAACTACTGAACGGTGCAAGTTAGTGATGGCTGTGTTAGTCTGCATGTTGGGCACATAAACACCTGGTTGTTTATGTAGCAGAAGAGAGGAGCCTGAGCTCAAAAGAAATGAATCGCCTGCTAAACAGAATACTATTTTCATGGCACGGGTTGTATTATTAACAATTGTCTGTGATAACAATGAACATGACTTTTAGCCAAATTACACATCTGAACAGTGGAAAATGCTTGTGAGTAGATGCCTGTGAGTTTTATTTTCTTCACCCCACTATTTCCTCTGGAGCTGGATATTAATTCTTAACCGCTGGAAACTAAATCGGATTGATTAAGCTCAAAGGACCACTTACTGGCGTCAGGTCTTTCAAAAACATCCCATGGTCTTAATCAGTGAATAGAGCTGTCACAGTCAGGTGATATCGATGTGATGTGTAACGGAAACAGTTTGGTTGTGTGACCACAAGTCATAAATGGGTAGGAGATCATTATTGCTATCTCTGCTGAGGGCCTGCTGCTGATGTGGATGGCTTCTCTGATCTTAATTCTGAAGTTCATGGTCTCCCAGGCAATGATCCCAACTGATCTTAACTTGGACTGGTGCTTCTTGACAACAGATAATAAACAATAATAGACTTTATATCTTTAGCACGCTTCAAAACAGGAGTTCAGCGGGCGACCCATAAACAGGGGCTATACCCAACGCAGCGGCCATGGGTTTGAATCCAGCCCACGGCCATTTACTGCAGGTCCTTCCCCCAATCTCCACTTACCCGTCCAATAAAGCCTAAAGGCCATTATATATATATATATATATATGTGTGTATATATATATATATATTTATAACCTCAACATGTCTTTGGACTTGTCGGAGGAAGCCGGAGAACCCGTGGACTGTTACTTTGGTGACCCTCGGGAACGATTTTAGGAGTTGAGGGAGTCTGTCGATGATGTTAGCTGTAGTAGCTCCAGGAAAACAACATGTAACTGCATTGGCAAAGCGGATGTTTCAAATGATGGAGTCTCCAATGATCAGGGACATCAAGGGGGAAGAAAGGGGCGGGAGACCAGACGCACTCATACAGTTGCTCCACAAATGCTCTGTGCTTCAGTTCGAGTGCATCTCCTTACACTTCGCTTATATTTGCCTGTGAAGCTTCTGCTCTCAGATTTGTGCCTTTTGCTTTTGAATCATTTTTTGTGAAAAAGTTCCTGACCAATAGAATGCCAGCTATGATGTGAACCAATGAAATCATCACTGTCTCATTTCAGGTGCATGGAAGTACAGCCATGATACCAGGGAGCAGTCTGATCAGGAAAAACACAGCTAAATATCACTTCCATTCCCTGTCACAGATAAGAAAAGGGTGTGCACGACTGTGTAATTGAGCAAAGCCTGGGGCTGAGGCCCTAAATCTCAAAGGAGGCTCAAAAACCTTAAACGTTATCCAGCTATGAAATAAAATTGAAAAAGATTATGCCTTTTTGTCTTACTTTTTTGTTTTGTACAGTGTACAGAGGTGTAATTCATTTTTTACTTCAGTGCCCCTTGTAAGCACATCTAACAGTAGTTTTCTGTCTTGGCTAAAGACTTGACAAAGGTTTTCTGACTTTGTTTTTTTTTTTTTTTAATTAATTTTATGATATAAATCATTGAATTACTTTGGTGAATCTGTTGTCATAGCAAGAACTATGACAATATGCTTCAGTATTAATAAACTGGAATTATCAGGTTAATCACCTGGAATTAGCTGGCTACATTAAACATCGTAGATTACACAGTCCTTCTCTGAAACTTGCAAGTGAAAAATCTCACTTTCCCCTGAACCTAATATAGACTTCCTTGATGTAGAGTCCTATAATGAAAGGTCTTGCAGGGCACTGTAAACTTTCCCACCTCCCTGCTATTTTGTCTCCAGTTTCAGGCCCTGAGAGGGGCAGTGGCAATCTGTGTTTTCTACTAGATGAAAGACCTCTAGAATAAACATGTGGTCCAACCCATTCTCAGATTTACCAGTTTACTTTGGCTACACATGGTGAAGTTCCCATTGCAAGTGAAGATGCAAAGGCCAGTTACATGGCAGAGCTCACTAGTTGTGGACTGATTAAGGCTGACATCAAACAGCCAAAGGTTAATGAGGTGAGTTCACTTTATAGCTTTCCTGACCACATAGTAATTGAGCCTCTGGTTGTTTATTGATTCAAATGACTTCCATGCTGGTGATGAAAAACAGTCTTTAGCCTCAAGAGTTAGTTCAAATCAGTAACTTATATTGATGAGGTGATGGGATTCAGATCACTGTCGTTTTTAATGTGGTGCAGGCTGAACTGTGTTTTATAGCACAAACAATGAAGCAGGGAACTTTGACAGTGCAAAGCCTTATGAGTGATCCCCTCCTCAAAATCTTGAGCCACTGGGAGCCAATGTGAAGAGCTAAGAATCCAAGGTAATTAGAAGCTACATTTAAATGAGCTACAAGAAAGTTTGTAAGTAAAGGGGAAAGAAAAGCATAAATTACTCTATCAAGATCAGAAACTGATGTTTCAGTTGGGTTGTTGGCCTACCCTGGATACTTGAGTGTTAGCAGATTGAGAATAAAATAATTTGGGATTGATTTTTGATACAGGAAGTAGCAACTACGCCATACAGGTCTTACCATCAGAAAGACAAGTCTTCAGACATACTATTTTAGCCTTGTCACCAGGTTTAAGGATGACATACCATTGTGTATCTCAACAAGATGGGGAAGTCAGAAACCTTTGACAGTCGGACAAACAAATTGTTGGTTATTGTTTTTCAACAGTTAACAATAAATTAAAATATCAGCTTGGAAAAACATTTATAGCCTCAACAAAATATAGCCCATGTATCACCAGCATTTAAACACTAGTGACGGATGAGTCTTTCAGAACCAGGGGTAAATAGTTGTCCCCATTGTCTTGGTCCCACTTAAGGATCAGCGTGGCATTTGAATCAAGGGCATTCCGATATATTTAGAATATATTGGTGACCAGTCTATCCCAGCTGACTTAGGGTGAAGGCAGGGGACACCCTGGACAGGTCACCAGTCCATCACAGGGCTACACATAGAGACAGACAACCAAGCACACTCACATTCACACCTACGGACAATTTAGAATCACCAATTAACCTCAACATGTTTTTGGACTGTGGGTGAACCCATGACCTTCAGTCTGTGAGGCAACAATGCTAACCACTGTATCACCATGCAAGTTAGAGACTATGTCGAAATCTGTTTGAAATTTTAAATCCACGATTCATATCACAGTAAACCAATTCATAGCAGGTCCGTTAGGTTTTTCCTGCATTCTGTTTAGAAGTTAGTGTAAGTGTAAGCCCTCCTGAAGTTTGGCAACCAATTAAAAATGAAGATAGACAACCTGTGACCTGTTCTGTAATACATCAAAGATAAACAAATCTTGATTATTTTCCTTCCTTCTCCCCTCAGCTTGTGACAGTAACCACTGGGGTCCACACTGCTCTAACAGATGTCAGTGCCAGAATGGAGCACTGTGTAACCCCATCACTGGAGCCTGTATCTGCACTCCTGGATATCGAGGCTGGCGCTGTGAGGCTCAGTGTGAATTGGACACCTATGGTAGCGGATGTCAACAGAAATGCCAATGCCAGAATGGAGCTGCCTGTCACCATGTAACTGGGAAATGCAAGTGTTCCCCAGGATACACAGGAGCTTTGTAAGTCAGAGGAGATAATGTGTTAGAATCTGTTTACTGTTTCTAATCCAAACAGTGACGCAAAAACAAAAGCTTAGTATCTGCAGAGAAACATATTTAATGTTTGGGTAGCAATCAGTTTTGTACTCTGTATTGCTCAATAGAAATGCCAGTTTCTCAATTGCCTGTGTTTGAAAATGGTGGATGAACACATCTGTTTCAGTGGAAGTAGACTGGAACTCTCATTGGAGTCTCAGTGACTCATGTGACCAGACAATAAGACCTTAAATGATAGTTGGTACATGTATATTGATTTCCTCTGGAGGATTGCTTATATTTAAAAAAAATATAATCTCATATTATTTGATTTACTTGGGACCTCATCTATGTTTATTTAAAAGAAAACTGTTTCACTTCATGTCGTTTTTTTTCATTGTAATTACTGCTAAAGTTGATTCATAAATCATATAAACCACAAATACCAACCATTTGTTCTTAACCTCTTAAGACCTGACGTGAACATTTTCTTTATATCTTTTATTCCTCTTTGCTGTTTGATCAGCTCAAATAGCAAAGAGGAATAAAAAAAATGCACATCAAACAAGAGCTCAGGTCTTAAGAGATTAAATACGATCACTTTTTTTCATATAACCTTAAATTAAACATATTAGCTTTTGAACAGTTTGTCAGACAAAACACAATTTAATGGCAAAAACATTGAAATGTGTGATCAAAACTTTGCTGTCATTCAAAAAGTGAATTTGAATAGACTACTTGATCTTTAAAAGTGAACCAAAAAAAATGCCTCTTTCTTTTTCTCTCTCTTTTTCTTCATAGCTGTGAAGACCTGTGTCCTCCAGGCAAACATGGGCAGCAGTGTGAAGAGAGATGTCCCTGTCAGAATGGAGGAATGTGCCACCCTGTGACAGGAGAGTGTTCCTGTCCTGCAGGATGGATGGTACACACCTTAACTCTTTAAATGTTTTAAAAGAATTGCATTCTGGTACTCACATGCTAAATGGCCATCTTGGTGCATTACATACAGCAAAAGGGCAACATTTCCTAAAATATGGAGTTGTTGATAAATACTGTGAGAAAAATCAGAGGTGCTGCAGACTGGACAGTATTTAGCAGCAGACTGAACATGAAAGAAACGTCATTAAGAGGCAGACAATTTAATCCTCACAGCTATGACATCATTGTTAGACATGCTAGTAATCTCTGATAACATGTCTGCAAGACTTGAGCCAGAGACAAAGTCCTGATATGATACAAACAACTCCTTTAAGATATTGAAATATGTATGTTAAAAGGCTCAACACCACTTTGGAAAATGTAAAATGAAAAATCTAAAAAGATTTGAGGTGTAAAAGCTGCACACATGATCAACAGCTTTGAGAATGTGTGTTATTTCCTGCTTTTGCTGCAGGGTACAGTGTGCGGCCAGCCATGTCCAAAAGGGAGATTTGGAAAAAACTGTTCCCAGGAATGCCACTGTCACAATAATGGCTTTTGTGTGTCATCCAGCGGAGAGTGTCTCTGCAGCCCTGGGTACACAGGGGAACGGTAAGAGAAACTTTTACACTATAAGATACATTATACAGTAGTTAGTATTGATAAAGCCTCCTTTTGTGACGCTAAACCCCCAAGAATATGGATTTCCTGGAGGTCATAGCATATGTTATAGAATTCCTTGTTCTTTGTGTGAATAAAGATAGATTTTAATGAGTCCGACTGGATGTTTGGGCTCATTGTCCTGCTGCAAAACGTTTATGGGATGATCAGATGCCTTTCTGTTCGTCGTGTTGTGTGACAGATAAGAATTCAAACATGTAGTGCATGGAACTTGCCGAATGTTTACAGTTTTATACTCATAAGTTCAGTATTATTGTATATAACATTATCACATAAATTACTGATGATTTGTTTTGCAGTGGTAATGTGTTACATTTGTCTGTGAAGTTTTTAGACTTTGACAGTCTCGTTTCATAAATGCATGTTCTTCTCGTGTACTTGAAGTTAAAAACTCTGAAACTCTAAAGTGGTATAAAATACTGACATTTATTTGAGGTTTGACGTACTTGTGCTCAGTAGTTTTATATTTGTTGCCTTTAACAAACATAAAACAGCTAATGTTTTCATTACTGGCTGTTGGCTTGTTTGTCTGCAATTCAGCTGGATCATACAAAAACATGGGTAAAAGTCATTACATTTGCCATGGGGTAGGTCTGCAATCTCTGAGGACCATTTTAGTTCAAATTGTGTTCGTCACTTACAACCCTAAGTTCCCAACAGTCAAACAATGAGCAGGGGTTGCATGTTTTCATGTAGCAGTTTTGTAGGTTATTGGTTTCTTGGGCTTTCCACGTGGTAGCAGCATGTGGCATATGCACAGTAGGAAAAAATAGAGGCAGCCAAACATCACAGCTGGAGCTGATTTACACCATCACTTAACTGCTGATGCAAAATAGGAATTAGTGGGTGACTGAGAGCCACAAACAGGTTAGGATAGTATTAGTGACATATTAAGAAATAAACATGTTGTTTTTCTATTATTATGATTTTTTAAAAATAATTTTGTGGCATTTGTTGACAATAACAATAACATAGTGTGGGCCCAGCCTTATTCTGTACATCTAAACGAAGATACTGACAATTATGTTAACATCTGATTTGATCTGTTACTGAGGGACAGTGAAGCGATGAAACATCTCCCAAAAACACAGTGAGCACAACCTTGTTGGCTGCACTGAGCCTGATTGTGACATGTAGACAAAATCAAATCCTCTGCAACTCTTTCACATCCTCCAGAGAGAAGAGAGAAGACACAACCAGGAAGCCCAGTCTGTGTATTCATAGACTACTCTCAGTAGAATGCCGCACCGGGCTTTGGGCCCATATAATTACCAATATCGGAGAGCATGCACCATATACTTAAGCAGACCAGTGACGAGACAAGAATAACCCTTCCAAGTGCACTTTTATGAGTAAATAAGGGTTGAGAGAAACCAAACATTACAGTATGGCGCTGCTTGGAACTGGGCCGGTTATGCCACACCCTAACCCACTAGAATAAATTAATAGGACAGTGGGCTCAGAGGTGGGGGCATTATTTGCCCTTTGGAAAGACAGACCACAAGCAACTGGGAAATCAATTGAACAGCTTTCTTGCATTATAAAATGTAGTAGTGCTGCCAGCTGGAATAGAGTCGTAGTGGAGATGCATCTTAATTGAGATATTGAGGACTTGTTTGTTTTGCTATACTTCTGACGTGTTATCTGAAGCTCTGTGTTCCAGCAGTGACTGTGATGCAGAATATACTTTGGAACAGTGTATTGACCTTCATGCAACACATGTAGTTCAAAGTGCTTTAACATTAAATCAGCTGTAATGCAACTGGTAGTGGTGATGCCTTTGAAGAGCAGGTCAGAGATTCGCTGTCAGATCATGCCGTCAGTATGGGTCCCCAGGTTTAAACTCCTAATGCTGTACAAGCCTACGGTGTACTACCAGCTGCAAGGGACCAGCAGCACAAGGATAGACCCACGTAGTGATGAGGCTGAGCAATACTCGAGTGGCACAATGCCCAGTGGGGCAAAGAGAGGGAAGATGATCAGGACTTGAGGGGGTTCCCAGAGGGCAGGATAGCAGACATACAGAACAGTTATAAGTACGTGGGTATCCCACATTCCAGCTGGAGCCGTGATGAGAATTTAAAGAGATCAGCAACAGCTGAATACCTTCAGGCCATAAGACAGGTGCTGAAAAAACAGCTTAAAGGTGGAAATAAGATCCAACCCACAAACATGAATGGCCTACCAGTCTACTGATACCTAGATAGGATAGTAAGCTGGCAACAGTAGGAGATGGATGCCACTGATGTAACAACATGAAAAGTCCTCATAATGCACACCACCAGAGTCCAGTGCTCCAAGGCTCTGAACAACAAAAAGGGAGGGGTGGGGGGGATAGTGAGTGCCAGAGCCACTCTCCAGGATCAGACAAAAACATAAAACCATAAATACACCATGAAGATGGCCTCCTGGGATGAAAGCAGGAGAGAAAGGGTGATGATGAGACAGATTAAATATCATTGAAGACTAAGCCCCTCCATGGGATGCTGGCAGGCAGACGAGGTGTTTGACATGAATAAATCCTACCAATGGCTGGAAAGGGCCAGTCTGAAGGACAGCACAGAGGCTCGCATTGTGTGCAAAACAAGAACATACCCTAAGAACTGCAACAATAGAGGCAGGGTCTACCACAGCAGAGAGATACAAGGCGCAGGCTGTGCAAAGATGCCCCTGAGACAGTCCAGCTCATAGTAACAGTGTGTAAGACTCAACACGTACACTCAGATGCAAGTCACCGATCATACTCATCTATGTCATAAAGTAGAAAGGAAAAGGTGACCATCAGTCACTTGAAGAATGTTGATTTAGACCTCATATAAATATTTTATTATTTTTTATTTTTGAACATAGCAGGTGACTTAACAGTCACACCGAGTACATACAAGGGTACTTCAAAAAGTTCTCAGCCTCACCAGAAAACGTCACAAAAAAAGATTTTCTTACATAATTTTCCACCATAGTCTCCTTTAACTTCAATGCCCCTTGTCCACCGATGTCTAAGCTCTGCTGTTGCACCGTGGAAGAAGGTCACATCTTGAGCCTCCAGATCTTCCTCAACCACATGGATGACTTCATCATCACTGTGAAATATGTGACCATGCAAGTGGGATATCAGTTTGGGAAACAGATTTAAATCAGATAATGCACGTCAGGTGAGTTAGGTCCATGAGGCAACAGTTCAAAATGCCATTTGGCTGTTTCTGCCACTTTCACGTGTGCTGTGTGGACGCCAGGCACATTGTCCTGAAACAACAGCACACCAGTTCAAAGCTGTGCTCTCCTTTTTTTCTATGATTACTTCAAACATTTGAGTTTTTATGGACAGTGAGAACTTTTTGAAGTACATTTGTACACACACACACGCACACACACAAGATAATAATTCCTTTTTCTGTTGAAAGGAAAACAACTGATCATCTTTACCTCTCCCATCACTCACTATGGATCACTGTGTCTCTGTCTCTTAACAGGTGTCAGGAAGAGTGTCCACTTGGTACTTATGGCGCCAGCTGTGCAAAGACATGTCGCTGTAAAAACAACAGCAAATGCTACCACATCAATGGAATTTGTCAATGTGAGCCAGGATACACTGGGACAACCTGTGATGTCCGACTGTGTCGTGAAGGACACTACGGTTTACAGTGCGATAGGAAGTGTCCCTGCTACATCAAGAACACCCGCAGGTATGCAGTAAATCAATAAATGGTGCTGTTAGCAGTGACAAACCATGTTCTGCAGTGATAGGGTCAAATTTTAATACATTCTGAAACAGACAAACTTTGTCCCTCGGTTCCTAAGATTCCAAGATATTACTCTCAGGGCTCAAGTTTATTCACTGACAGCTATGAGCGGGAAGAAGTATTCTTGTGTTGTCTGTGTCTGTTTGTCAGTGCGACCGCTGTCCCTGCAGACAGCTGGCTGTATTCAGTTATCAGTTGTCAGGCTGTCACAGCTGGTGGAATGCATGTGTTGCTGCGAAGAACAGCTGTCCTGCTTCTCCTCAATTGGACTGCTATGTCAGGTGGGCCAGCTGTGGGTCAAATGCAGTTACTTACAAAGACAGTTAGATTCCACCTGCGTTACTGCAGATATTCTCCACCGTGCTGGCGTGACATGTCAAACATCACTGAGACTCCTTCAAGTTCAGTCTTATTTAGTTTGATCTCATGCCTAGACAAATGCATGGGAGACTCTAATTTTTCTTCATTGTTTTAAAGGATCGTGATTTATAGAGCCACAGTTTTAATTCTGTTACCTAGAAGGGTACCTTGTAGGGTTATCTACTCTCAGATGTACGTCGAATTGTAGAACAGCCTTTGCCTGTATGCAGCCTCGCTATTTCTGAATGAGACACAGAGTCTGTCTAGATAGATAGATAGATAGATAGATAGATAGATAGATAGATAGATAGATAGATAGATAGATAGATAGATTCAGATATTTACAGATATTCTACTATCTCCCTAAACATATATTAGGGGGGTTTGCACTCAAATTTTCAAAAATGTGGTGGCCCCTCTTTAACCACTTAGGGATACTGCAGCTATAAACTATACCTTAGTATAAAAAAATATAATAGTAATTGTTGTTATGTAACCTGTCTCCTTCCTAAGTGGTATGATGGTTGGACATTCCCATGGTGTTTATTCCTGCGTATAATTGTTTGAACAGATGAACGGGGAACCTTCAGGCATCTGGAAATTGTACCCAAGGATGAACCAGATTTGTGGAGATCCACAGTTCTCTTCCTGATATCTTGGCTGATTTCTTTAGATTATCCCATGTTTTTACAGAAGGAAGCAGTGTGTTTGAGGTGTGCCTCCAATCAGCTCAAATGTTGTCAATGAACCTATCAAAAGCTTCCAAAGCCATGACATCATCATCTGGGCTTTCCTAAATATTTTAAAGGCATAGTGATCTTAGTGTATGTACAGTCGTCCTCAAATGTATTCATACCCTCCCATTAAAGAAGGAGGAAAAAAACAGCTGTTACTGAAATAAGTTGAAATTGACAAAAGTAATAATAAACAAGCATTTAATGAAAATCATGACTTGCTTTATATATATATAAAGAAGCAAACAAGCATGATGGGACCCGTGAACTAATATTTTGTTGAACAACCCTTTGAGACAATCACAGTCATCACTTGTTTTCTGTAACTCTCAGTCAGTGAATTTTAATTTGGACAGTGATATATGTATATATATATAATTTTTTTTTTGTTTTATTTTATTTTATTTTATTTTATTGTTGTAGTATTTTTTGTCTCAAGCATCCCAAATCCCTTGCCCCCAGCCCCTAACCAATAAAGATGCACTCGCTAGTAAGAATGCTGATGTTAGAAGGTAATCAACATGCAGTACGTGCCATATCTTACAATTTGTAACTGCAATATGTTTGTCTCTCGTCACCAGTTGCCACCCAATGTCAGGAGAGTGTACATGTCAGCCGGGTTGGTCAGGTCTCTACTGCAATGAAACGTGCGCCCCAGGTTTTTATGGCGAGTCCTGCCAGCAGGTGTGCCTGTGCCAGAATGGAGCTGACTGCCACAGCGTGACCGGAGAGTGTGTCTGTGCTCCAGGCTTTATGGTAAGTCTATGTTTGTGTCAATAAATGCTTTGCGGTCATATAGCATGATACCTAATGAGGCTTGTTATGTGGTTAGCTGTGGGCTAATCCCCTAACTTGACTGCCAGAAACACAGGCAGCAAACATACATCAATACTTCAAAAACCAAACAAAAGAAATCTAGTGAAAATGTCAGTTTCGCAGCATAAGACTTCCTGTACTCACTCAGAACAAGGTCAGTAAATATATGGTTTTGCAATAACGTGTAGTGGCAGTAGTCTAAAACTACTGCAACGTCAGAAAACAATGTTTTACATTCCTCAACTTTTTTCTTTATGTTTTTCAACATAAATGTATGAATATCTCATTTTACTCAAGCGTCATTTCCAGACCCTTCATGCATTACCAAATAACGTTTTGTCCTCACAGCGATTTTAACATTTTTATCCATTGACCTTCTCAGGGTCCCAACTGTTCAGTCCCCTGCCCAGCTGGAAGACATGGAGTGAACTGCTCATCCACCTGTAATTGTAAGAACAGGGCTCAGTGTTCACCTGTGGATGGGTCCTGCTTTTGTAAACCAGGTGAGTCGAGGAGGAGAGGGAAGAGAAGAAAGGAGAGAGACAAGAGCAAAAGATTATTATTTTGTTATCATTATTTATTATTTTAGTTTAGTAGGCTCCGGCCGCCCCGTGACCCTAGTGATTATTAAGCGGTGTATAGATAATGGATGGATGGATGAATTTTAGTTTCGTTTATTTTCTAGTTGAGTTTTTAAAGTTAAATTTGAGCTGTAAGTCATAATATGTTATAATGTGTCAATAATCTGAGAAAAAGACTAAATGCAAAAGTGTTTTTGTCTGTAAAAACATTATAGCAGTAAATATAAAGTTTACTAAGTACAGTTAATATTATGAAAATATATTTCTGCTTCTGTTCACAACAAGATTTGTTCAATCAGTGTTTATATTTCTGCATAAAACAGACAAGATACCATGAAGTTCTAAAGCTGGCTAAAAACACTGCATTTAAACACCATTTGAAACATCTTGATAATCAAGTTAATTCATATGTTAGCAGAGAGGTAATTTGATGATTGTGTTACCGTAAAAATGATGCTAACTACTGATAACAAAGAAAAATGTGAGTGGTGTGAGTTTTTCATCTTATTGGCCTTGTGTGGTCAGGGTGGCATGGGGTGGACTGCTCCATCAACTGTCCCAGTGGCACCTGGGGTTTGGGCTGTAATCTCACCTGTAAGTGTGGAAACGGAGGCGCATGCAGTGCCTTGGACGGCCGCTGTACCTGTTCTCCAGGCTGGAGAGGAGAGAGGTGTGAACTCCACTGCCAGGTGAGAGGATGTAGATACCCCCAAGTGACTATGTGTGTGTATTTTTTTAACATGTCCAGTATTATTTGTGTCAACCTACACGAATGACACAAATGTTTTTTTTGTTGTTGTTGTTTTTAACACTACATGTTACATAGTTTCAACTTTATTTGCATTTGAGTATGCAGTGTTTTAGATGTAATTGTGGGTGTAGCTATCTCTCCCAATATTAGGTTAGCCATGTGTCCACAAAGCAGACTTGATCCCTATTAAATTCCATATAGAATTTGCTGGAAGCGAAACAATTGTTGAGATGCTGTGAAAAGCCTGTAAATTATATTTGGTTGATCTAGACTGGCTGCACTTAACTATCAGTCTACTTCTAGGGGAATAAAAAAAGCTCTGGCTTGTTTGCATTTCTTCAAACCAATCACAGTCATCTTAGGTGGAGCCTAGAGGAGAACGTGGCTTCACTCAAAATAGGAATGGGTGGAATGTTTTGGGTGGAACATTTGCACACAGTGAGGTGAACACTGTCATTTGAATAATCCACAAAAAATGAAAAGAAAAAAAAGAAAAAATTCAGCAGGGCTGCGTTACTGCATGATCGAATTCCTCTGCAACACTTGACATTTCCAGTGTGGTCGGTTTCTAGCCCAGAGCTGGTTGTCTAGTGGATTTTGAAGACGGTAACACCCAGATAGTGAAAGGAAGGCCTGAAATAAGTGACCAATGGGAGGCTTGTACCTGCAGCCTACATCTGGTGAGACTTGCTTTTTGCTCTGAAGGTAGCAAATAAAGGTTAGGAAGGAGAACCAGTGCTTGCTTTATTGAAGTGTCATTTTGGAAGCCCTTCTGTTGGCTGATGTACTTCAGGTAGGCAATAAATAGCTGGTCTAAGAGGAACATCATTAGTCAAGTTTTTGTACTCTAACTGGTTTACATTGCTTGACAGCAACACTTGCTTTAGGAAAGGTTCAACTTCCCCTTTAAATGTATAAATAAATAAATAAATAAAGATCTTCTTATTTTATTGTCAGACATCCACCGGAGCAAGAGATAACATCAGGGTTCCTGGACAGAGAAGATAAAGTGGCCAGTTCACCTGTAGTGCAATTAAAGTTTGAATGAGGTTTAGGTGTCTGCAGGAATTCTTCTACATACTTTTGAAATAATTTACAGAATATTTCAGTATAACTGAATTCAGGGAACTGCAAGGCAGCTCAGTGGTTAGCATCGTTCCCTTGCAGCAAGAAGGTCACCGGTTCATGTCCCAGTGAGGACACCCGGGATCTTTCTGGATGGAGTTGGCATGTTCTCCCCGTACAGCGTAGCTTCTTTCCAGGTTCTCCGGCTTCCTCCCACAGTCCAAAAACATGTTGAGATTAATTGGTGATTCTAAAATTGTCCGTAGGCATGAATGTGAGTGTGCTTGGTTGTCTGTCTCTAAGTGTAGCCCTGTGATAGACTGGTGACCTGTCCAGGGTGTCCCCTGCCTTCACCCTGAGTCGGCTGGGATGGATGAATTCAGGGCCAAATGTACTTTTTGATTAAAATGAGCATTAGATGTATCGACAAATTTCTCAGTATTTACAGATCAGCTTGCTTCATGTAGTTAAAGTATTTGGGGGGCTAGGACCTAACTTAAAAGGCATTTGTAGCAGGAGTGGGCCTTTAATAAGGATGGAGATCTTTTCATCAGACAGTCTGATGAAATAGTTTAAGGATTCGGTCAGTGTTTTCTGATTGCCCAGTCTTTTCAGGTATCTTTGGCCCTTTAAGTTGTCATTGGTGTTTTTCATATTTTGATGGCCCGGCCTTTGTCCAAAAGTGTACCTTTTCAAAAATCCCCATCAGCTTCAGAGGGAACTGAAGCACTTTTTGTGCTTAATTGAAGTGTAGGAGTTGGTTAGGAGAACTTTTCTAGGTCTGAGACCCTTGTGCCAATTTTTACTTTGTAGCCATGATCTTCCACTCTTTGTAGTGTATGGTGTCTGTTTTGATCTTCCTTTTCTGCTCCTCTGGTTAATATTTTTCAGTAATAGTATTAATACCTTGCATTTTCTTCAGATTGATTTTATTACTCTTGACTACTTGAGTATTCTCCACAAAATCAGTTTCTTGCTATATTTTTGAAGTTCTTTTGTGTGAACATAATCGTCAGACTGTCAGATCCAGTGATGGCTTGTTTAAGCTTTCATTCAGATAGTATTTGTGTCGTACTGACTACAGTATGTCGGGTTTTTTTGTTTTGTTTTGTTTTGTTTTGTTTTGTTTTGTGTTGTTTTTATAAAAATGTTGAAGACTGAAGACTTTGACCACATCTTGTGTATTTTGCCATGTTTCTGCAGTTTATCTCTTTCATGTTTCTGCTCGTCCTCCTCAGGATGGTACGTATGGTCTGGACTGTAGAGAACGCTGTGACTGTAGTCATGCTGATGGATGTCACCACTCTTCTGGTCACTGCCGCTGTCTAGCGGGATGGACTGGTAAGACACAATAACAATGTCCTCCTGATTTAATACATATGACAGTATACCCAAGATAACTAGTTTCTAGTACTCCCTGCTTTATAGTTTATGTTCAAATCTGTTTACACAGTAAGATTGTGAGTCACACTGTAGAGACAAAAAGCATGTGTCTGAAATACACCAATCAACTACGGCAGTAAATCTACAACACAGAAAAAAAAGAAGTGCAAAAAGGGAATTGGTCTGAACACTTTGTGAAGTAACTGTTTTAGTGGATTTTAGTTTCTAGACTGGGTTTAAGTTTAGTTCAAGGCAAGCAGTGGGTGTGGTAACAGTAAGGGTACATCTCCAGATAACAACTGTAGGTCATTGTCCTCTAAAGTGATGGAAACAACTCTCTGTGTGTGAGCAGGTATTCACTGTGATAGTGTGTGTGCAGAGGGTCACTGGGGCCCAAACTGCTCACTCCCCTGTAACTGTAAGAATGGGGCGTCCTGTTCTCCGGATGAAGGAACCTGTGAGTGTGCTCCAGGATACAGAGGCACCACCTGCCAGAGGAGTAAGTCTTCTATCAGCACCGCATACTATTGCAAGATCATTACACAGCTAGTGCTCAACTTCACTCTGATTTTGTTTTCAACATTTTGTCTTATCGTATTTTAATTATGAAAGTGAAGATAAACAATAAAATTCTTAACCAATAGCTCAACCTGCAGCTGACAGTTTTTAAACCAGTGCCTCTCAAACATCTTTAGACTATTGGAATCCACCCCTTCTGAGACAATGTATTGCTGTGGCACTGTGGGCTGCCCTCTATTCAATTCTATTCATTCTATCAATAAGTTTCTGCCTGTTTTACTACAGTCTCTCTGTGTCTTCTAGCGCAGGGGTTGGCAACCTACGGCTCTGGAGCCGCATGCGGCTCTTTCATACCTCTGCTGCGGCTCCTTGTGGCTTTGTAAAATGATTTATGAGTATTTTATTTTAAATGTGTTTTATTTTAGTTCGTTGGTTTTTAAAATGTAATTCTGAATTTGAAGATTATGGTGAACTTGTAACATTAAAATAAAATGTGTTTAATTTTTTGTTGCTCAAAATATACGTCACCACTGCCAATGTGTGACACCCACCAGCATGCGCAGTGTTGCCAACTTGGTGACTTTCTCGCTAAATGTGGTGAATTTCCAAATCCTCTTGGCGACTTTTTTTTTTGTCAAAAGCGACTAGCAACCAATCCAGCGACTCTTTCTGGTGTTACTTGAGACTTTTCTGGTGATTTGGAGACTCTGACGTGAAAACACATATAATGCAGTTACTGTCCTCACCGAGCAGCGGTGCTGCTGTGAGCTCCTCCCCATCCCAAAGCGCTCGCAGGCGGTCAGGAGTCTGGTCAGCAGTCCCAGCTGCAGTCAGCAGGACAACCTGATGTCATTTTGACTTTGCTGCAGGTGGATGATTTAATATTGGCTTTTAATTTCATATATACAAAGAGAATTCAAATAGACATTGAGTATTTTATTTCAAAATAACCTTCAACCAGTGTTCTTTTTTGTTGGAGTTAAAAATGTTTTTATTGCATGCAGAAATAAAATTTAGTTTTCTCTGTAGCAGTTGATTGATTTCATAAATGCAATACACTAGTTTTTTTTTATACATAGCATAAAGGTAAAAAACGATATATGCAGTGTTATCTTCATTTTAGATGTTGAAAGGGTTTTGTGGCTCCCAGTGTTTTCTTTTCCGTGGGAAACGGGTCCAGATGGCTCTTTGAGTGTTTAAGGTTGTCGACCCCTGTTCTAGCACCTTGGAGAGTGAGTGTATTTGTGCACAGTGTTATTACATAGTGTTAGTATAATCTGATGTTAAAGCCTACCCTAAACTTAAGTCCTCTGTCACTCCCAGGCAATGAAAAGAATTTGCTGTTACTTTAAGATACAGGTTAAATAATTTACTTTTGTGTTTCCAATGATTTGTCTGCAGTCTGCTCGCCAGGTTACTTTGGCCACCGTTGCAGTCAGACCTGTCCACAGTGTGTCCACAGCAATGGACCATGTCACCACGTCACGGGACAGTGTGACTGTCTGCCTGGCTTCAAGGGAACACTGTGTAATGAGGGTGAGCATCAGGATGCAGTGCATACAGTCATGTTACTCCGTACCACAGAGTTTCTACTTTGATCAAAAGGCCTGAGAAAGGCTCAGATTGTTCACTTCTTCCCGTTGGTGTTAGTCCTAGAAGGGATGTTCTGAGAAAAATCTCCAAGTAATGTTGATGTTAATCTTGTCAGAAAGACTGAAGACAGCTGCTAGCATTAATATCTCTTTGATGGTACAAGCTTCTGTCACAAATTATATTTCCCTGCTGGAAATTTTTTTAGAGAAGTAAGAACACTTTGTCATATGATATGCTGCTCAAAAACGTTCAGTAGGCAACGATGTTGATCATTTAAGTACGATTTTTAAAAAAAGTCACAGTGCACCTTTTCAGCAACTAAGATGCTAAGATGCTGAAAACAATGTAGAATACTTTCATCTATAAGATGTGGTTGAGGGACCTGAATGACATGTGTTTGTCTGTGCAGTGTGTCCTAGTGGGCATTTTGGGAAGAACTGTGCCTGGAGTTGCAGCTGCACCAACAATGGCACCTGTAACCCCATAGATGGCTCCTGTCAGTGTTACCCAGGATGGATCGGCAGTGACTGCTCTCAGTGTGCGTTCATACAGTAAAATAATAAATAAGATACATGACAAATCTGATGTGCTTCGTAATGCTACTTACCTGTAAAGTGCTTCTTTTTCAATTTTGTTGAACTGTAGTGTAAAGAAAAGATTTTTAGAGAGGATATTTATCTATGAACTGGCACTAACAGTTTGTTGTTGCTGTGCTGCAGTGTGTCCACCTGGCCAGTGGGGACCCAACTGCATCCACACATGTAACTGTCACAATGGAGCCTACTGCAGCGCTTATGATGGAGAATGCAAGTGCACCCCAGGATGGACGGGCCTCTACTGCACACAACGTCAGTCTCACACACACACACAGTCCAGGTTCTAAGTGTTTTGGGACGGTCTTGCATTTTTGTTCTTCAGGCTTGTTACTTTAGCATGCTAAATTCAAAAAAAAGAGCCAAATCTCAGCTGGAACTTGAGTACGTTTATGTCAATACGAAACAAACTATATAGCTGATATGATCCTTTTGCTAGCTAGTGCCCAAAATGGCTCAAGAGTTCAGCAGCTTAAATGTAAGTGGACATGAGGTCAAACAGATCTATTATAATATATCAATATTTTACGAAAAAGTGTTTGCATTCAATGTCTGCCTGACGACTTGGGAACACAGTCATCTGCACTCACTGTCCTTTCCTGGTGATGCTCTTGCAGACAGAGGCACCACCATGTTTGATCTATCTATGATAAAGTGGTGCCTTTTGAGCATCTTCTTTACTTGCAAGGTCACTTCTTCACTCCACGTCAGTTTAAATAACAACTTTTAGTCAGCTCTGAGCCACATGTGAGCTCCTTTATGAAGGAATTAATGTAGAAACAACACAGAGCTGCCGAAAAAACATTTATAACAATAATAATTGATCAGATTTATATAGCGCTTTTCAAGGCTAGGTCTACTCAAAGACGCTTTACACTGTCAATTATTTATTCACACACATTCATTCCGGTGGTGGTAAGCTGGCTGCCATTCTACGCAAGGTGGGTGAAGTATCTTGCCCAAGGACACCACAACAATGGCAGAATCGAACTGCCGACCTTCCGATCATTGACCGACTCACTCTACCTCCTGAGCCACAGCCGTGATATTTTTTGCTCATAAAACAAATAAGAAAGTTCCTAGGAGTCTCTGAAAGTGAAACATCCCACAAATCTCTCAGTTTTCACAGTTTCAGGCGGATAAATTCAAAGTCATTTGGTGATTTTTTTCAATCATTTTTTAGTAGCCAGCTGTCAAATTGCTTTCGAACCCTTGCAATTTTAGCATTATGTGTTACATGATCTATATATCCCACACAGTTGTTTCAGTTTAACATAAAGCTACTCAAAATAATGCTGAGACTTGTATGTAGTTTACATTTGTTTATTTCAAATTGAATGTGCTGAAGCAAAGAGGCTAACGAACCAAAAGTGTGGCTGTTCAACCTTGAAACCATAAGTAAAATAGTTTCTACATACAGACACTTTCACAGCTTAGATACAACTTAGGGGTATTGTAGCTTACACAGCATAATTTAGAAACACATTTATCACACAGCAATTGTTGTAATATAGGTATAGTATAGCATGTAATGGGGATTACTTGCTTGCAGGCTGTCCATTAGGTTTCTATGGAAAAGACTGTTCTCAGATCTGCCAGTGTAAGAATGGAGCTGACTGTGACCACATCTCTGGACAATGCACATGTCGCACTGGCTTCATGGGGCACCACTGTGAACAAAGTATGATACACCGTCTTACATCCTGTTTTGTTTTCACAGACATTTGTTCTGTTTGCATGTTTTTCTTTCACATCCCTTTCTGTTTAGATGAATATGCAGTGCTTAACAAATTTATCGGGCCACCGCCCAATGTAAAGTTTATGCCACAGCTGCCCTAAATTAGCAGAATTGGCAATTAACAACATCATTTTTTATGTTTCTGTAATGGTTATTACACCAGTATGTAGAAGCTCTTTAACCCAAATTATATCTTTAACGCTAAAATATAATTATTATTGGTATCTATCAATTTTTTAATTTATTGTTTCACAAATAAACAGAAAAAACAGTGAAGCATATTATTGTTTCTTGATTAAGATGTCAAATTATAGTTAATTACTTGCATTCCTGAACAGAAAAATGAGTCTTAGTGATTATTGTTATGCTTTACTTGATTAATTTCTGACTTCTTGAGAAGCCTAGTGAGCTGGCTCAAATTTGGGTATAAAAAGGTAAATTCAGTTTGAAATTCCTCATTCCTGTAAAACGTTGAAATCTGTAGTAAAGCACTTCGACGCTCCATATATATATACATACATATATACACACACACCCTCTGTGTTTAACAAATTAGACAGGTAGTCTAATAAATGTGTTAAGTACTGTATGTGTTTCCATGTTTATCTCTCTTTTCCCTAACTTTTCTTAAATGACTGACTAACTTCTTTTAACACTGTCTTAAACTTCAGTTTTACTTTTGTGCTTTAATTTTATTTGTCATTTCAGTTACTTTCAGCACTTCAAATTTAGCAGGCACTCTCTTACAAATACTTTTGGGTAAGGGACATTGTTTCTTAAGGTGGACTTAAATGATTACCCATTTGATTTTTTTTCCTTATATCTAGAGTGTCCCTCTGGTTCTTATGGTTATGGCTGCCGTCAGGTCTGTGACTGTCTAAATAACTCCACCTGCGATCACATGACTGGTACATGTTACTGCACCCCAGGCTGGAAGGGAGCTCGATGTGACCAAGGTAAGGACACAGCTCATGTTAAGGCTAGAATGGAAGCTACATATAGAGTCATATATAGAGTCACTGACTCAAGCCAGCGAGTAAGTCAAATGTATTGTCTTTAGGGTTTACTGGATGAGCCACAGTGAACTAGGAGAAGCCAGGACTAGCTGGAAAGCTTAGCTGATCATGGAGCAGTGCTGAGGAGACTTGCCTAAGGACTGGACTAGGGAGTACAGCAGTGCAAGTTGAAGCAGCAGCAGATGGCAGAGAAGCCAAGCAGTAGCGAGAAGACTAGCAGTGATTGTCTCCAGAGCAGTTGGACTGAGATGGAGGCAGGGCATTGGTCAGGTACACTGCAGGCAGAGCCAGCAGAAGTTAGCATTACAATTACAGAGCATGAACTGGCTGGAGTGCGACTGACTGAGTCTGCAATCTGGTGATTATATCAGCAAACTGAGGGAGTGTGTGTAACTGTGAGACACAGTACAGTGCTGCCCACTTAATGTCATACCACTTTATAGAATATCCCCTTTTTAATCATAAAATATTGAAGTCCTGAATCATTTCCTATATGACCAACAGTAAAACAGCCCGTTTACTGTTATAGAAAAATGTCATAATCTCAATTTTTGTCATAACAGAATTCCCTGAAATTGATTCCAGGAATAACTTTTGCCCGTTTAAAGTCATGGTCGGCCAATCGTTACGGCTCACGGGCTGAGCATCAGTAATGCCTGACAAATTATCACACCCCGGTCAGCCGCAGAAGGCAATGTGTTTGTTTGTTGGTCAAAAACCTGCTCACCTGCTTCACAGAGTGATTCACACACTGACTGTCGGACATTGTTTAGGGCACATCACAGAGAATCGCATTGTTGCAGAGCATGTCATCATGATTAACTAAACAGCTCACTTAGTTAATCGTGATAAGTTCATCCTCTGTAGATCCTCTGATTAAAGGAAATAACTTATATTGATGGGGTGGTTTTTCATACTGACAAAGGGGGAATTTCACTGAAGCAAAACCAGAAAGCTCCGTTTGAATAAACATTTCTTGATCTCCAAAGAAACTGTCCCTTTGATTTTGTGAAAACATTTCCAGTCTAGCTTTATGTATAAACCCCCGTTTTTCGTCACACAGACACAATTTTCTCAGTGCTCTATCGTCGCGATTGAAACCCGCTTGTTAAATATCCAATAAGCAGTCATAATTCCATCCTGGACCAAGGGTATGATAATACAGGAAGCACTGTACAATCAGAACTTAACTGTCATTCTACATTTCCTCATTCTCCTGTTTGCAGCTGGTGTGATGGTGGTGGGCAGCCTCAACAGTTTGACCAGTGCAGTCATGCATGTGGACACCTACCAGATTGGAGCCATTACAGGAATCATCATCCTGGTGCTGCTGGTGCTCTTTCTTTTGCTCATCCTACTTATTTACAGGAAGAAGCAGAAAGGCAAAGAACCCACCATGCCAGCTGTGACCTACACTCCTGCTATGAGGGTCACAACTGATTACACTATTGCAGGTACAGTACAGGTTGACCTGCTTAAAATTGCAACAACTCAGTGACATACAATGTTCCAGGCATGTTAGACAGGCCAACAGTTGTTTATCCTAACGTGTTTCTAACATTAAAACACTACTTTGGAACAGGACAGTCCATGTTTGTGGTTACAAAGAAGGAAGACAATATTTCTATTAATGCTACTTTTCCTATCGCAACACTTCAAGTGAATGAAAAGTCTGAATTATTTGTTTATTTAATATATTTGTGGGGCTTTTTGCCTTTATTTAGAGCAGTATAGACAGACAGGAAAGGGGGGAGAAGAATGGGGAGAGACCTGCAGCAGAGGGTCATAAGTGGGAGTCAAACCCACGACCGCTGTGTCGGGGTACTATAGTCCCTGTTCATGGGTCGCCCTGAAAGATTTATTTTGTAGTTTCTCTAAGACTTTATAGTGAGTTTTAGAATAAACCCAGATTATATACAAAACCAGTACAAGTACAAAACCCTGCAACTGGATTAACTGGCAACTCTAATTTACCCGGAGATGTGACTATGAGTTTGAAATGTTGTTTGTCTTTATGTGTGCCCTGCAATTGACTGCCAGCCTATCCAGGCTGTATTCTGCCTCTCACTTGATGTCGGGTAAGACTAGCAAAAGTGGGATCTGCACAGTATTAGACAGGCGGTTTTACTTATGTACTTATGGTTTGACTTATCGTGTATTTATCACAGTGACACAATCACATAGAATAGTCAGTGATGAAATGAGGTTAACTTTTTAAATTGAATTTCCCTTCTGGGATAAATAAAGTATTTTTCATTTCATTTCCCACTGTTACTCAGACACAAAGGATAAGACGATCACATAACTTTTCAAGTTGTCTTGCTAACAAACAAACAGATAAACGCTGGCTAAAACATAACCTTCTTGGCAGAGGTAATAAAACATAACCTCCTTCAGTTTGTCATTATGGTTATTGAGTGTAAATTGATGAGAAAATCATTTTTTTAATGTATGTAATTGAAATATACAACACAATAAAGTATGCTGAAAAGGAGCAGGTTTGAAAACCTTTTTAATCAATTTGTAGTACTTAGCACTGCCAACATTTTAGCATTCGAGAAAAAGCCTCTGCCTCCACTTTTGGATCACGGGCGGAGACAGAATGCAAAGGAAAAAAAAGCCTTTTCCATATACTATAAAGCATGGAGTCTAAATTAAACCTAAACTATTAACAGTTAATCCCTATTGTATGACCAACTTGATTCTTAATCTGCATGATATTACATATTGCAGTTTTCTTGCATTTCATTCTCCTTAAGGCACTGATGAAGTGACGCATTTAGTGCATTCTGCTAATACTGCCCGTTAATTTTTAATTTTTCAGATGCTCACCCACCAACATGTGAACCCCAACCTAGCAGCTACTTCTCCAACCCCAGCTACCATACTCTAACCCAGTGCATCAGCCCCCCACATCTTAACAATGGTCCATATGGAAAGGTATGGGCAAAGCAATGGTAGAGAAAAATGACTATATTTTTATAAAGAGTGTTTATTAATAAATATTCACATATACAAATCATTCTTTTTTCCCACAATATTTTTTAGACCAATAACAACCAGCTGTTTGTGAACATGAAGAATGCGGATCAGAGAAAACGGGATCCTCGAGTTGATCATACTGGCACACTGCCTGCAGATTGGAAACAAGACGACTGCTTCAATGAAATGGGTAAGCCATTTATTCAGAAGCCTGTGTGGCATGGGGAATGACTGGTTTTGGTCATACATTTGATTATGATAGCATTAAGTTAAGTGAGTTAGTTAACTAATGGGATATGTATCACAGACACCTGTGATTGAATGGATATAGGATTGAGGAACGCCGTATACATTCAGTTTTTTACATGGTTCCTCAAATTAAATGTCCAAGAAACAGATAAATTAAAGCTGAAAGCAGTGATGGTCAGGTACTCGCCGTACGGTTGTCAGCTGTTGCGTACCTTGGATGTGACTCAAACGCGCTCCGGCCGGGACTCTAATCCGGCGTATGGAGTTTCAGGCAGATCGGAGCACGTGAGGGCTAGTTATACGCCACTTCCTATTTAATGGTGAGCCGAGGTGGCGTGCATGTTGGTCTGTGATGGGAACGCACTCTGGCCAAGACTCGGAGCATGTAGGTAAAGTTACAGGTAGATCGCTGCACGTACAGGCCTGCTACACAGCAGGCCCCATTTTATGGTGTTTCGTTTTTTCTAACTTTAAATCACCATGTCCTGTAGTCAGTGCTGGCCAAATTTCAGATGTGTCCATGATTCCCCCAAGGAAGAGATAGATTTTGAAAATGGCTAAAAATTAGCAGAAATTGCCAAAATTCTCGTCATCTTTTTACAAAATGGCGGACATCCTGTTGAGTTTAGAGCTTGGTACTAGTTGATTTTTTTGTGCGTCCTGACCTGCAACATATGCCGACCAAATTGGTCAAAGTGAAATGGCCTTCTGACAGGACTCCGTTGAATGCTGGAAACACAGCCAAAATGCACAAAATGGCCATTGATCGAAATTGGACGGGCCGGCATTTCCAAACTTGCTTCCGACGGGACACCATTGAAATATTCTAGGAGGCGCTGTGGAGCCATTTTGCCATTGACATGCCTAGTTCTTTTAAAACATCAAAATTTTTGCCAGTCCTGATGTGCGTGCAAATTTTGGTGAGCTACCCTAATTAGGGTCCGAGCACGAACAGTGTAAGGACCCTATTGGAACTGCTGTGAGTATCATATTTTCTTTTTCATCAAAAACAAACACAGTTTTGAGGGCCTAAACATGCTTGAAAACTCATCAAAATTAGCTCACACATCACAACTGTCAAAAAATTTGATGTTTTAAAGGAACTGGGCATGTCAATGGTAAAATGGCTCCACAGTGCCCCCTAGAAAATTTCAACAGAGTCCTGTCGGAAGCACATTTGGCCTAGACCTACGAAATTTAGTAGGCATATGTAACAGGTCGGGACGCACAAAAAAGTCTTGGTCCGTCTTTTTGAAAAAAGACAGCGAGAATTTTGGCGATTTTCGCATTTTCAAAATCTATCTCCTCCTTGGGGGAATCTTGTACACATCTGAAATTTGGCCAGCACAAACTACAGGAAATGATCATTTAAAGTTATAAAAACGCTCCCCAAAGGTCTGACGGTGTGCAAATGATAGCCCATGGAATTTCGCCGAAACACGTGCTGTGTAACAGGCCTGTACGTGCTCCGATCTGCCTGAAACTTCACACACATGCTCCCAGCCAGAGCGCGTTGCCGCCACAGTGACACATGCTGCCTCATCTCGCCGTTAAACAGGAAGTGGAGTATAACTAGACCGCACATGCTCCAATTTGCCTGAAACTCCATACGTCGGATCAGAGTCCCGCCTGGAGCACGTTTGCGCCACACCCCAACGTGCACGACAGCCAACAATCGTACAGTGAGGACCCGACCATCGCTGCCAGCAGCTTTACTCCATTATACGATTGAATGTGGAATATTTTTTCATTCTGTTTCTTTTTTTTTTGTCCTTTTTGATCATTGTTGTTTTAATCACTGTTTTAGTAGTTGTCTGTCTATGTTTCTTTGGTAACTCTTTATACCTGTTTTCAAATGTTATCTTTGAATGCCTAACTAGGGACAAGATCTGCCAATTAGCAAGTTTAAAATTACTTAAAAAAATTAAGTTAAACAAAGAATCTGGCATCTTCACCCACTGCTTTTGGAAAAAAATCGGTGAAGAAATGAATTCCCAAAAACCAGTTGTCTTTAAAGGTTTTATTACCAGTTGGCGTATGAAGCTAGGTTTGTCTCTCATACCCCAAGATAAGGCCTCTTGTGCACTCCATGGCTTCAGAGTCAAGTTACTCACGTCACACAAACAGGAGTGGAGGAAATATAAACATTCACGGGAGAGGGGACAAGTTAATACTCTGGCCTAATCCAGTCATAGCAGTCTCACATGTTATTTTTGCTTGTACCATTTACTGATTCACTTCTTTTTTCCATTTTGCTTCATGTCAGGAGCCTTTGGAGTTGACAGGAGATACATGGGAAGATCTTTAGGTGGTAGGTTCTGCGCATAAATCCTGAACTACTCTGTTTAAAACTGTTATTCATCTCTCACTGGTTCCTCTGTCTATGTTACTGTTACCTAGATCTGGTGAAGGGCACACCCTACCATGCCAGCTCCTGTTCCCTCAGCAGCTCTGAAAATCCATATGCCACAATAAAGGACCCTCCCCTGCTGACAGCAAAAAACACAGAATGTGGCTACGTGGAAATGAAATCACCGGCCAGACGGGATTCACCGTATGCTGAGATTAGCAACAGCAGCCCGACTAATAACCGGAATGTCTATGAAGTTGGTATGAAGCTTAAATGATTTTGATTTGGTGTCCTTGTGAATGCTTTACTGAGAAGTATGCTTCAGTTGCATTAGCTTCACAGTTGACTGCTATCCCCAGTTAGGGCTGAGCAAACTAGATATAATCTTCTATCAGAGTATGGATAATTTTACATTTAAATGTGTAAATACAATAGACTACTGTGCAAACATTGTCAGCAGTAGAAGTGAAGTGGAGATCCTTTTTTTTTTTTTTTTTAAAGTCTTTAATAGTTTATATTTATCAGTTATGTATATCTGATAATGTCATATGAAGTGCAGGAAAGAGTAAAAGACTTATGGAGATCAATATTTAGTGTGATTACAGTATCAGTTCTCCTCTGTACACTTGCACTCAGTTTTTCAAGCTACTTGGCAAGTAGGTCATTCAGCATCTTGTAGAACTTGCCACGGTTCTGCAGGTTAAGGCTTTTTCTTTATCAGAAATGGAAAGAGCACTGAAAGTAGAAGTAAAATTACTTGTGTAAAGTTTATTCAAATAAGCTATAAATTAAAATGAGCTTTGAAATTTTCCAGAATATTGGACTGTTCCTTTAGGTTTACAGATTTATGCTTTACTATTGTTCCTGCAAATGCCAATTCATTTGTCTTTGATTTCAGAACCAACTGTAAGTACGATCCAGCCCACTGGAGAAGGCAACAGCCATGCACAGTTTGGGCAGGATCCATATGATCTACCAAAAAACAGCCGTATCCCCTGTCACTACGACCTCCTGCCAGCCAGAGAGAGTCCTTCCTCAGAGCTCAAAGAGCTGGACAGTGAATAATGGGGGAGAGACTCTAAACTGAGACCAGGTCTCACCTCCAGTCTGTGACTCCAGCACTGGATCTTTTACAAACAGGCTCACTTTATACCTATGACGTACTTTTACTTGTTTTCTTGTTATCTTTGACACTATCATTGTAATTATGTATCATCATTTAAAGTGGATATATACATTTGGGGGTTAGTTTTTAGGCTAAAATAGTTTGTCAACAGTTGCTTTAACCCTGATGAAGTCATTCCACATGTCTAGCAGGTAAGTTCTCCATATGCTTTGAATGAAGCAGTTCTAATTATGTGTTGTACAACTGCTGCTAAAGGCAGTGTTCCTGCCACTTCCAAATGGCCACTCTCAAAAGTGACCTGAAACACTTGCTGTCATAATCTCCTTCTGACTGCCTGCCTGATCTCTCCCCAATACTCAATGTGCTTTTGCATCTTTTGGTCTTAACAAAGCAAACTGCACTAACACATGTCTTCAATAGGCTGCTGTACTTATTTGTACACACAAACAGTAGCCTAGCATTGTGACCTAAGATTGCCACATTTGATTCAAAACGTTTCAGAAATATGATGCACACAGCCATTGTCTGAGAGATGGTTTAGGATGCTGTTAAATGATGTTAGCACTTTACATCTCTATTTTTGCAGTTTTAGAAAGTGGTTAACTGGATGAGTATTAACAGTTCTTTCAAATATCAAACATTCATGTCAGGGTTCTGACAGTCCTTTTGGTGTACACCTAGTAATGACATCAAATGCAGTCAGTCACTTTTGGATAGTATTTAAGTTAACCAAAGGTACAAGTGCCATTTACTACTTTTATCAGCATAGTCCATGAAGCTCCAAGCTGAGCCCTTTCTCACTGTTAAAATATTCCCGATGATTGTCCGCAATTTCCCACGAAAGGTAAAATAAACTTTCATAAATATCAGTCGTACATACTGCTCAGTGCATCATTATCTGAGACAACTTTGTTCTTCACAGTAGCTCCTCTGAGCTGGATGTTTGTCCCTACACTGAACACTGTTCACAAAGGGAACCTGATCTCAGTTTTCTGCAAAAACTTAAGTTTATGATGTGTCTTGATGACTATTTTATCTGTCTTGCTAAGTCATTCCTATTCATTTTAAATGACCATGAAAGGTGTGGGTAGCATTATTCAGGGGAGTGAAGCCAAGACCATATTTGAAACCGGGTTACTGCCCTGGGGCCCATCTTCACTGAGATCACGTTTCTTCTCTGTGTTAGCACGTGAACTGTATTTGGATATCTGATCTGGATCAGGTAAAATACATTGTAAATTCCAGCTGAACACAATGCAATCTGAATGTGTTTAGATCACCCAAATCACTTGTAAAGGTGGTCTGACTCATTGTGATTTGTTCTTAGCCGTATGTTAAGGACATCTGTGTGACAGCATTTGTAAATTCACTCAAAATGTTGTTGTTTTTTTCCCATACTGCACACATAGTCATCTAAAATGGGGCACAGGTGCTTCACCAATCGCCTCTTCGTATGTATAATACTATGCTGTTTTGACTGACAAAAAAACCTACACTCTCTTTCTCTCTAATGGAAAGCATTGGGTTCTGTACCATACAGATACAGAGGGGTAAAATGGTGGTTGCAGATGTGTGATTTCATTCTGTCATGAGGATTTGTGACCTTTGTGAAGAGTTTTTACGAGTGACAATATATATACTAAAGAATCCAACAAAATATGTGTTCTAAGTGTGATGAGAACTTTATAATACCATCAGCATTTGGACAGCCGTGGTTCAGGTGATGAATCGGGTTGTCTACTAATCTTGAGGTTGGCGGTTTGATTCCTGACCTCTCCATGTCTCAAAGTGTCCTTGGTCAAGACACTGCTTCTCAAACTGCTCCCACTGGTAGGTGAGCACCTTGCATGGCAGCTGTGCCACTGGTGTGTGAATGTGGGCAGGAATGGGTGAATGAGAAACACATTGTAGCTCAGGTTAAAAAGACACCAGACAAGTACGGACCATTTACCATTTATTATTACATCCTGATCTTGTCTCACAGTAACCACTTCAGTCATCTGTACAACAGTAGCTAGCCAATAAAATGTTGTAGGACTCTGTTACTGTATCATTTAAAGAGCACAACATATCCAATGACATGTAAGCTTAAGCTGGACTTTGGCTTTGGAAAGACCAATTTTAACAGGAAGAGTAGACATTAGTAATTTGTAATACAAAATGGTCAGATATTTCTACAAAATAACCCCCCCCCCCCCCCCCCCCCCTTTTTTTTCTCCTAGCATTCTGAATGGCCTGAAATCGAGCTATTCTGAGCCTATCTGAACTGTTTGTAACCCAGTGTATGTAGTTTGATCTGTTATGATGTAATAATGATAACATCACCCAGTGCCTTATTGTCAAAACTTGAAAGCAAGACAAATGTGGCATTTGGTTTAGAATTGAATAATTATGAAAGCTTGCAAACTTTTGTTCTCTGCTACGTTTCTCTGTAAATTGCTTTGCTTACTAATCTGCCTGAGTACTAGAATTGTGTATTTATATGATTACTGAAAATATTTTCTCTAAAATTGATGCTTTAGATGTTCCTAAGATTAACAGATATTCCAACACAGTCTCACACCAAAATGTGTAATGGCTACATTGGTCTACAGTACAAAAATGTATTAGTTTTACATTAAAAGACTGTTAAATTTTGAGCTGCCGACTTATTTTGGCCTATTTTTTTCCTGTCTACTTGCATGTACCTTTTGCAGCTCACAAGTTTCATGCAATGACTAGTAAGTTCCTTATAGGCTACACATAAAAAGAGCAACAAAGTACACATAGTGAAGCTGGGGGTGTGGATGAGGTATAAACCACAGACCTTTCATCCAGGAGACTGGATTTGAGTTCTGCCAGCGACCAATGTGTAGTGGATTTTTCAGTTGCCGTTTTTAGTTAATTTTAGCTTATGTTTAGGCTACAGAAGTACTTGGTTAAGTTTAGACACCAAAACTACATGACCAGGTTTAAGAAAAGATCATGGTTTGTGTACAAACTTCTTCATTAGTATGTGACTAAATGGTAAGGAACATGATAAGGAGTGATTAACCTGATATGTGTAACCTGATATGGGAGATGCTGCTAAGCATGTGCAAAACTAACTAGTCCACCAACACATGCATTTACATTGGCTCATAATGGACAAACGCAACACTTAACCTAATGAACAGGTATGGGTTAAAATGCACAAATGCAAATGCTAACCGCGAAGCTACATTGCTTCTAACAATAGCCCCTAAAATGTAGGCGACTCATAATTCCTTCGCTTTAATGTGAAAGTGATACATTTTGTGCTGGCCTGAATACACCAAATTCATCGATTTTCTTGAATAGTATTTTTATCCTTCTGTTGGAATAGTCTCTGCACACTTGTTCCCTAATAGGGTGACAATACACGATGACCATTGGATTCTATCTACTTTTTGGGATTTTGTTTTTCATTATAGTTTTTTGTGCAAATGCTTTGAAATAAATGACATAATATGATGAAATAATTTGGCCATCTGTTGAATTTGTGACATCTTCATTCATTCTTTCTCTCTGCAAGACACCTTCTTCCCAGCAGTCACTTTGCATTTTGATAATGTTGAGTTCTGAATATAACTTGGATGGATATGTTAGAAAATATCAATCAATCAATCAATCAATCAAATTTTATTTATATAGCACTTTTCATATACTACAACAACACAACGTGCTTTACAGCATTTAAAAACAACATAGCATTAAAAAACATGACATCATTTAAAAACATTACAACATTTTAAAAATAAAATAAACCCGTCCCTCCCACCCTCCATGCATACACATACACATACGGCAAATGCAGTCACACACACACACACACACTCACCACTAGACTAAAAGAGGCGTGGCATGGCACTGAGGGAAATACTGAAGGATGCTCCCAAAAATAAGAAAGTTGCATACCGATAATAAAAGCAACAACAAAACAGACATGCCAGCACTGTGACTTTTACAAAAGAGTATTGAGTATTATACTACTGATGGGTAGGTTTTTGGGGCTTTTCAGTTAACATTACATTCAGTTGGCAGCACCTTGCATGGCAGCTCTGTCGCCATTGTATGAATGTGTGTGTGAATGGGTGAATGAAAAAACATTGTAAAGTGCTTTGAGTGCCGCTAAGGTAGAAAATCGCTATGCAAGTGCAGTCCATTTAATAGTAATAATAATAACAGTATAACAACATGATAACTGGAGCTATGAACAAAAGTTAAGATGGCAGAAAATTATGTTAACTCTGCTACCACATAGCACTCATCTGTAAACACATTTGATTCCTACAGGTCAGACAGCACATCTTAAGAACAAGGTCTCAGAGAACATCAGTCCATCTTCAGGCTGGCTGCTGTCCACCTCCATTCAGTGTCCTTGTGCTCTCTGTGGTCACCTGCCACAGAAGCAGCAGTATAGTAGTCACATATAGTTCTAATTTACATATACTTCATATTTTTTACATGTTTTTGAATAAAATAGTGGTTTTATCCATGTTCATAAACACTATGTGTTACCCAGGAGTCAATGCTGCTGCTGCTGATGACCACAGCAGCACAGACCTCTAAGCACTAGGCAGACTTAGTTGGTGTAAAACACTAAGCCTTTTGTTTTGATCTGCACACTCTTCAGTGTGTTTTAGATAATCCCCATTCAAGGGGAGGAAATGCAGTTTCAGTTAGGATGAAGTGAATTTCATCCAGAGTAGGTGAGGTTGCCCAGTGGGTCCTGGCAGCTGGAGTCCTGGCAGGATGCGGCTCATCGCTCATTGGCTGCTGCGGCCACCGCTCATTGGCTGCTGCTGCGCTGCTGTGTACGTTCTCTCTGGGCATGCGCGACAGTGAGGTGTGGCGTTTCTACGTGAAGATGATTACTGTGGTGTTTGGCAGTGTTTTAGCAACTTTGCTGGCTCTCCTTTTCTTCCAGAGAAATACTTATCCCTTTTTCTGGGATGATTTATTTTATTACTTGAAACTACGGAGGTACACAAAGACGATGCGAGCTCGTATGCGGCAAGGAATCACTACATACCTCGACAACTTTCTCCACCAAGCGAGGAAGAACCCGAGCAAACCTTTTATTATCTTCGAAAACCAGACTCTGACATACCGGGATGTGGACAGGAGAAGTAACCGGTTTGCGAACGCATTAAGGACGGAGGGCTCTCTGAAACAAGGAGACATTGTTGCCCTGCTGATGAGCAACGAACCGGACTTCGTGGCTGTGTGGCTGGGGCTGTGTAAGCTGGGCTGCGAGGTGGCTTTCCTCAACGGCCACCTGAAAGCCGGACCGCTGCTGCACTGCATCCGCATCTGTGGCGCCGAGACGCTGGTAGTGGGAGCAGGTAGGAAGCTGTTCTCAGGCTCCACAGTGTGCCACTCACTTCAGGAGCTCTTCACACACTTTTCATAGTTCCCCCTGCCATAAATGGGATTGGCTGCAAAAACAAACAAACAATAAAAAAATAAACAAACCCAATCAGGATGCGTGTAGTCGTGACCACAGCACCATCTTCCATTTGACTGATTTTTATTTGAAGTGGTGAACACTGAGTTGACGATGAGGAAAATCTGGAGGTAATATTTCGGGGATAAATAAAGTTTTTTTCTGATTCTGATTCTGATATTCGTTTTTTGAGTTAAAAATTCGTTGAGCACTTGGGGTCGTGTTGATTTTTGTTTTCTTCTTGACAATCTGTGGAGCATTGTTTGAAATGCCATCACTTGAGAAATAAAGTAGCTGCAGTCCTGAAATCTCACAGACTCGTTGATGTGCACATATGGTACAACCCTGCATTGATAGAATAATACAAACCAGTTATATGATGGTGCAAAGTTGGCCAAAAAATTGTCAATGTTTTTGTCTACTTGATTTTTCACCATATAAGCATGGATTTGTTCCTGTGATTGGCACCAACAGAAGCTGTAAATATGTAGAGTATGGAGCCAACTCAGGGTGAAGGCAGGGGACACTCTGGACAGGTCACCAGTCTATCACAGGGCTATACTTAGAGACAGACAACCAAGCACACTCACATTCACACCTACGGACAATTTAGAATCACCAGTTAATCTCAACATGTTTTTTGGATTGTGTGAGGAAGCCAGAGAACCCAAAGAGAACCCACGCTGCACAGGGAGAACATGCAAACTCCACAAAGAAAGATGCCACGCGTCCTAACTGGAACGCGAACCAGGGATCTTCTCGCTGCGAGGGGACAGTGCCTAATATTCAAATTATTTATTCAAATTTAAAATGATATCAATTTAAATTTTGTAAATATATGGCCAATATTAAACCACTCCAATAGTAGTCCCAGCTGCAAGAGTTATAGAATATTGTTACTGGGCTAAAAGAAAAATCATGGTTTTCCAACTTATAGTGCTTCAAATTATACTATGGGAAGTGCTACCAGAAGCACTCAGGGCTGTACCATTGAAGACCATATGTACGTATCAATAAGCCAAAACTTCAGGACTGTAGCTATTTTTTTTTCTAAAGTTATGGCACTTCAAACATTTGTCCACAGATTGGTGCAAAGAAAACAACATACACTTAAAAAAAAAATTACCATGACCCCACCCCCTCAAAGTTACATCACCTCTGACCAAAAATTGTAAACGTTTTACTTAATAACATACGTATGCACACACACACACACACACACACACACACACACACACACACACACACAATCTGATAACTATGAAGCGGTCAGGCTTGAACTCTTTCAAATATTTGGCTAATTGAGGTGGAATTACTCTTTTACTCAACTGTTTACTGCATTACATTCACACCATAGCAGGAAACAAAAAGGCACGACTTCTTCTAAAATGACGAGAGTGGAATTAGCTCTGTACCTGTTCGTTGCAACGGTGAGACGATCCACTGTGACTTTTTCTGCAGATTTGGTGTGTTCAGTGGAGGAGGTCCTTCCTGATCTGAAGAAGGACAATGTGGGTATGTGGGTAGTGGATCATTCATCACCCTCTGAAGACTTCAAAAGTTTACTGGACAAGGTGGAAAACATCTCTGGAGAAGCCTTAAGTGACCTCCCTAAAGTTGACATTATGTCAAACTTCCTCTTCATTTTTACTTCAGGCACCACAGGTACTGTATGAACAATGTATTCTGTCAGTTTTTACAAAACTATCAAATAACAGGACAGGATCTCATAGTTTGTCTGCCACATGTGACACAAGTTGTGAAATTTGTTTGGCTATTAACCATTTTCTTTGCCCTCAATGGCGACACCATATTCCAAGTGGACAAATCCTAGATTTTGACATTCTGACATTACAAATGCCCCACATCCATTAGGATCAGTCTAATTAGCTGGACCCTTAGCTGTTATTTTGCCTGCTATTGTATGTGGTAAATGATGTGTGCAGTGGGAATGGGCTTTTACACTGCACAAAAACCATATCTAATCTACAGTATTTCTTCAATTAAATCAATTAAACAAACAAACAACGGTTGCACCATTAGAAGGAAGCTGCTCAATCGCTCAAAATTCAACTTCTTAGCATCAATAAACCGTTTTTTCGATTGACAGTGTCACATGTACAGGACACACCACAGGATGTTTAATGAAGATTGGTTCTTGCATCATGAGCAATGGGTAGTTATTTATTATTAGTGCCCGTGCGCTGAAAGTGCGTAGGACCCTACTGGAATGCAAGGAATTATTATTCTTGTCCCATCAAAACGGCCAACACATGCTCAAAAACTCATGAAAATTTGCACACACATCAGGACTGGCGAAAAATTTGATATTTCAAAGGAACTGGGCATGTCAATGGCAAAATGGCTCCACAGCACCCCCTAGAAAATTTCAATGGACTGCTGTCGGAAGCACGTTTGGCCTAGAGCTACGAAATTTGGTAGGCATATGGAGCAGGTCGGGACGCACAAAAACGTCGAAGTGCCCACATCGTACATCCAACAGGAAGTCCGCCATTTTGGAAAAACGTAATAGACACTAGTAATAAACACTGTTGTTGTTATTTGTAGTTGTTTATACTACTTAACAAGTTAAGCTAATATTTTTGCTTAAATGAATCAAGTGAACTACAAGAACACTTAGAAGAACATCCACAAAGCAAAGTTAATGCGTCACAGCACATGTCCATTGAGTTTGTGATACATATATTGCTGTCTTGCCATAGACTAATTAAAAAAAAAAAAAAAAAAAAAAGGCTATGGAATGCACTAATTGTAACTTTATTTTAACTTGTAAATACATGGCATATACTGTATGTATACCAATTGGTGCCATTCTCTTCCAGGTCTCTCCAAGGCAGCCCGTGTAGGTCACCTGAAAGCCATTGCGAGTATGGCATTCTTTCACATGTGTGGAGCCACATCTGATGACATCATCTACATCACTCTCCCTCTTTACCACATGTCTGCTTCCCTGTTGGGGATTGGAGGATGCATACAACTTGGTAAGAACAGCTGTACTTAAGTGTAGAATTTAACCTCAATTTTCTACATATGTTTTTTTTGAGCATTCATTTTACTACCAGTGTCTACCAGCCTCCACCTACAAACAGAACAGAGCAGCAAGTAGACCAAAAAATTTAAAGGGGCTGTCACACCGTTTTTTAAAATGGAAATATCCATTAAATTAATATTTATCTATGCTATACTTTGAAGGAAATATGTCACATACCGACAAGAAAAATTAGATCTGCTATGTGTACAAATCACATTATTATTTTAGTTAATTCACTCCTGGAACGTTTGATTTCTAACAAGTCTAGAAAGACCACTTAACAAGCAACAATTTATGTATTTGACCATAGCCTAGTGCTGCTTGCCTAGATCACCATGTAATGGCTAAATGCTTGGCCAAAAGTCACTGCACTTGACTGTTGTTCACCAAGAAATACTTTAGGCATGCCACCCTCTAGAAACCAAAACCCGTTCTTGTATTTTTTCGGTATCCTTAAGAATTTTTTCTGGATGTGCCCCAGTCTTCAATGGGTACTTCCTTTCCCGGTATTACACTTGCAACCAGAAGTCCATGACGTTTGGTGTGGTACTTCTTGCATTATTCTGCTCAAAAACTGACAAAATACATTGAAAACATGCCCAAGGAACTAGGGCTCTATGAACTATGAAACAGCTTATATTTTATCATTTACTTCAACTATAATTCACTTTGCATGGCAATTTTTCAGCTAGGTGTGTTTTCCCACAGAGACGTCCTGACAGACGTATACAATTCCGTAACTTTTAGTACTTTATAAGTTAAAGAACAAACACTGACGGAAAACAGCATGATGTCAGATATCCTTTTTGTAGGCCTTTTAAGGAATTCCCATTTCCTCACATACCAAGAGAAAAGGCTAAAACAGCCATCAATTATCTATACACCACTTAATCCTCACGAGGGTCGCGGGGGGCTGGAGCCTATCCCAGCTGACTTAGGGCGAAGGCAGGGGACACCCTGGACAGGTCCACGCAGAAAGATCCCGGTGTCCTCACGGGGACGTGAACCAGCAACCTTCTTGCTGCAAGGCGACGGTGCTAACCACCGCTCCACCTTGCAGCCCCTAAACAAAGAATGGGAAATTTCTCACAACAGCTCAGTTACAAATACTTTGTACTGACTCTGTCACTTACCATTTGCCTTTCCATCTTGTCACTATCTTCTCTTTTAAATCGTAGGTGCAACATGTGTCTTAAAAAAGAAGTTCTCTGCCAGGCAGTTTTGGAAGGACTGCGTGAAACACAATGTCACTGTCGTGCAGTACATCGGAGAGCTCTGTCGATACCTTCTCAAGCATCCCATAGTAAGACTGACAATATTTTAAACTTCTCATTTTTTACATCCTGAATTAAAACGCATTGTATATAAAGATAGATATAATGTGGTGTGAAAGTTTGGAGCCAGGACATTTTTCTCACTAAATGTCTGTTATGCTACAGATCAATGTTTTTAAAAAAACTAGGTACTAGACTCAAAGACAGTGCCCTTTTCCTTTAAATGATATGCCTCAGGCATGATCCAGAATAGTATTCTAGCTTCATGGTTTGCTTTCTCTACACAATAGGTTCAAACTCTGGCCCACGGGCCAATTTTGGCCCGCCACATCATTTTATGTGGCCCGCGGGAGATGTGTGTTTCCTAATCTGATAAATGAATATGCTTTACCTGATATAATATACCTCTTATATAATACACCGCTGACTTAGGGTGAAGACAGGGGACACCCTGGACAGGTCACCAGTCTATCACAGGGCCACATTTAGAGACAGACAACCAAGCAGACTCACATTCACACCTATGGACAATTTAGAATCACCAATTAACCTCAACATGTTTTTGGACTGTGTGGGAGGAAGCTGGAGAACCCGGAGAGAATCCACGCTGCACTGGGAGAACATGCAAACTCCACGCAGAAAGATCCCGGGTGTCCTCACCAGGACGCGAACCGGCGACCTTCTTGCTGTGAGGAAATGGTGCTAACCACCGAGCCACCTTGCAGCACCTAAAGTATGGTTTAGCAGCCAAATTTAAAAAATGGTCAAACTTTATATATTCATACAACATATAAAAATGGTGTGCTTCGAGGGTTTAAATATAGGTTGGCACCTTGGTACTCACCTTAGTTTCTCCCTGCTTTCAGTTCTTCTGTTCTGGTCAGTGCCAGGCTAAATACGTGCCGAGCCATCTCCGTAAAAGACACACAAAGATGGATTTGACAAAGTTCCTCTCAAGTGCACAAACCAGTATTTCCACAAGTGTAGGACTGTTCATTTAAATAGTTAAATGTTGCCTTGAAATCAAAGTCTTTTCCTGTCTCCAGATTCCAGAGGAGCGAGCTCACTGTGTTCGGATGGCCGCAGGAAGTGGTCTCAGGTCAGATGTTTGGAAGGAGTTTATTGCACGCTTTGGTATAAACAAGATCAGAGAAGGTTATGGCTTGACTGAAGCCAGCATTGGCTTTCTCAACTACACTGATGAGGTCGGACCAATTGGAAGGGCGAGCTACTTCAACAAGGTCAGCAGCAAATTATTTGTCATGTTTCCTGTGGACCTCACTCACTCTGCATTTCATCATATTGTTTGTTTGTGTAAGTTAGTGCTTTGTCATATTTGAAACATAAAAGTATATATAATGCCCATGTCTTAAATTTACCAGTGCCTGCAAAGTTGTGAGAAGTTCAGTCAATTTGCTCTTGAGTTTAGTTATGCTGGTATTGCAAAAAGTCTATTAGGTCTTGTATTTGCAGTCTGTCAGAGTCTATCAAAACTGATTAGAGGGAAAATTCTAGCAACTTTTTCAGCTCTCATGACTGTCATGTGAATCATTTTAGATATCAATAATTGACTTTCTTCCTTTCCTTTCCTTTCCTTTCCTTTCCTTTCCTTTCCTTTCCTTTCCTTTCCATTTTCCATCCTTTGTGTTTGGAAGTATAACCAAATTTGCTTGGTCAAAAATGTACTTACAGCAATGCTAATATTTGGTTAAATGTCCCTTGGCCATTTTCACCTCCATTAGGTGCTTTTGGTAGCTGTCCACAATAATCTGGGGTCACAGCCCCGAGTGCACCAACCACCACTGGGACCACAGAGGCCTTCAGTTTCCAAATCTTATCTAGCTCCTCTCTCAGCTCCTGGGGCCTCATTTATCATCAGTGCATATGCAGTGCTGTGTGTGATGAGTGCATACAAACATTCTCACACAAAGTATGGCATTTATCAACTTGTACTTATACTTAGGAATATGCGTAAATATACTATATACAACACTGACCATGCTTATGCACGTAATCTAGTGGTATAATAGTGAAACTACAAATAGAAAGCATTAAGGGATTTTTGGCCACTGGTGCTTTCCAGCGTGAGGTTGGAGACACATGCAGCATTTCCCAGCCATCACTGAGCCGGATCATGCCGGCAGTGCTGGATGCCATAATTCCGTTGGCCCCAGCCTACATCCAGTTCCCATGCAGCCATCAAACGAGGACTTCATGCCAGCGCTGACATTAGTGCAAGTCCAGTTGCTACAATTAAACTATGAAAATTAAGTATCTGTAAGATCCAATCAATGGTGAACCAGTGCTCCTAGCTATTGCTACACCATGCAGACAAAAGAACAGTAGACACAACTATAAGGCATCACTCCAGTGGCTTAAGCAGTGTCTCATCAACTACTGTCATGTGTTCTTTTTCAGCTTTCTATGCCCTTTGAGCTCTTGAGATATGATCCACAAACACAAGAGCCAGTCCGAACAGACTCTGGAAGATGCATACGAGCACAAGCAAGTAAATGAATCACAAATCCTTAAACATGAAGGTCATTCTGTCTGTGCTGTGTAGCTATATGTAGTGACAAGATGTGTTTACTAAATGTACATCCCTTTCCCATGCACAGAAGAGGCAGGAATCCTGGTAGCTCCTCTGACAGCTATGAACCAGTTCCTGGGCTATGCTGGGAACAAGTTCCAGTCTGAGAAGAAAGTGCTTCGGGATGTGTTTAAAGCTGGGGATGTCTATTTCAACACTGGAGACCTCCTGCTCCATGATCACAGGGATTTTCTTTACTTCAATGACCGCATTGGAGACACTTTCAGGTACCATTACTGTCTGTATAACTATAACTGTCCTGAGACAATGTTGCTAAGGAATTTGCATTTTACTTGGCTTGTTTTTTGTTTTTGTTTTTTTAAAACGAGGATTTACAATTAAAGTGTTGGTGTCATACTTAACAGGAAACCTTTTCCGCTGTTATGTCAGTGAGATCAGTTTGCATCTAAACTGCATTTTTTTCCAGGAAATTATAAGGAACTTTTGAAGAAATTTGATTCTGTTGCACCCATTAAGTAAAGTATTATCGTCTTTGTCTATCAACACTGTGTCAAAAACAGTGGTGGTTTGATTTCAAAGCAGCTCCACCAGCCATCAAACCAAAGTTGTTCTTAATCATGGTGAATCTGATACATGTTCAGAGTAATGATGATTGATCAAATTCAGGCCAATTAATTCAGCAGATTCAGGCAAAGGTCAATTTGTCAACAAACTCTCACAGTCAAAAGAATATACCATGTGCTGGAAAGACCTGACATGACTGAAGAAGCAGAAAAATTAAGAAAAAAAGAAGCTTACACCGCATGTGCATGCGCATCTAAGTAATGAACTTATCTGCATCAGTCAGCACTTGTCATCCTCCTGTGAATATACAAGCTCTCACACCCTCTGGCTTTGTTTATGGCTCATTTATGTGTCTTATACTGTAAAATTAAGTGGCATGATATAGCCAAATTAAATTTTTTCTGTCTTCTAGGATATGAATCTGTCACACATTCTGCGGTTCGAACTTAGATTACAAGGACACCCCACCATTATGATGACCTTTATATAAGAACTGAACTTTTATTCACCAAAATCTGAAATCGTATGAATTATTGTTATTATTATTCTTATTATGAGTAGTAGTAGTATTAGTAATAGTTTGTTTATACACAGGCCACATGCGCATAGTGATCTGTGCTACTATTGAATCTCAATTTTGTGTTCACAAGTACAGTGTACTATGTGTGGCTACATAGAATACTGTATCAAATGTGATGTGAGAATAGGGTTACAGTATGAAATATGTCTCTGGTAGTGATGAATATACAAAGAATGATCAGCCAAATCTGCAGCTCACATTGGTTTTGTACATGACAAAAAAAATCAGTTACTTCACGTTTAACTGCATCTAACATTGTGTTTGACAGGTGGAAAGGAGAGAATGTATCCACCACAGAGGTGTCAGAGGTTTTAGGTCTTCTAGACTTTATCCAGGAGGTCAATGTCTACGGAGTCACTATACCAGGTCTGTGGAATGTGAGTGTTACACTGTGATTTATGGTACTGCTTAGTTTGCAGTGTCTGATCTGTAAGTGTGTTGTTGATTTTGTTCATTTGACATTACTTTGGGGCCACAGCGTTGTTTAATGTGAAACCCAGAATTGTTGCTAAAGTTTAACTCAAGCTTACATGTAGCTCTTAAGCTTCAGCAGTCAGAATTGGACAAATCAAGTGAGCAGCACTGACAAATTAAGGCAAGATAATAAAGGTATTATGATTATTTTGATCTTGGTCTAACACTTTGACTTGGTGACTTTTTCTAATGTGGATATGCAGGATATGAAGGTCGAGCAGGTATGGCTGCAATCGTGTTAAAACAGGATCACAAATTAGATGGAAAAAAGCTGTACAACCATTTGGTGAAGACACTTCCGGCATACGCCTGGCCCTGGCTTCTCAGAATACAGGTAAGGCATGCAGGTATTCATTACCTTCAGTATTTTTAAATGTAAAGTCATTTTGGTTTTTTGTATATCTGCCTTTTTTCAGATCTCTCTGGATGTGACGGAGACGTTCAAGCAGCAGAAGGTGAAACTGGTCCAGGAAGGTTTTAATCCAGAAACCACACATGATCCTTTGTATTTCTTAGATATCTCTCAGAAGGACTATATTCACCTGACTATAGCTTTATATGAAGATATTGTGTCTGGAAAGATGAATTTATAGACATGTGAAGACGTTAATGCAGGCATAATGGCAGTTCATACACGTTAAACACAATCCACGCTATGGTCATATTTCTTTTTGTCTGGAAAACCCGGATTTGTGCTCAGTGCCACTGTGACAAGTTCTTAAAATGGCGATACATATGGCAATAAGGTGTGAGCAGTGTAACCAATTAATTAGTCCTTTTTCACACATTGTATTGAATAATTTGTAACGAACGCTGTCCACAGTTTTATATGTATATTTTTAAGCTTAAATCCTTAACTAATGGACAGATTATGTGCCTTAAACCTAGAGTTTTATTTTCTTTACCAATTTTAAAGTATAGTTGACTATATTTTAATAAGCCTTCCTGTGTTTAGTTCTGTTTTAACCTGTTCTGTTAGATTCTTTGTGGACTAATCCACAGCACTGATTACATTAGTACAACAACCCAGTCACATCAGGTCACTTTGCCACTCTCATGTCCTCTTTTAAGGTTCTATTTGTATTCACTCATTATTTCCCTTGTGTTTGCAAAGTTATATTTGTGTGTACATTAACAATGTTGAAATTCTAACTGAACTGATGCTGTCTCATGGTCTTCTGTCTCTTCATTTAATCATGCCTGATGGCTAAGATTGTACACATCTCAAGTTGTCACAGAGCAGGTCGGAGACTCAAGCGCGGACGACAAAGACACAGCAGAGAGGACTTTTAAACGATACATTTATTTACAATAGGAATATTTACACAAGATCACAAGTAGGGGTGAAGGGGAAGGGGAAGGGGAACTGACGTCACGAGGGATGACACGAAGCCAATTTCTCTCGAGGGAGACTGGGTATCAGAGGGGAAATGCGTACTGGAAATACTATGGAAGCCGGGACAGGACAAAATATAAAAATGCAGACTATCAAACACCCAGACAAACTTAATCTTACGAAAGCAGAATACATTTACAAGGCTAAGCTAACCATGACTTGGTACAACCAAGCTAGGAAAGTCAAGGGCAAGACAGCTCAAAATGTGCACACAGCATGTCAACAAATTCACACGACAACATGCTGACAGCAGATCTAAACAGACAGTAACACACAAGCACTAACGCTACTCTGAGTACCGAGAGATAGCAGGACTAGGCATAGCTGACAACATGACGGTGAGAGAGAGAGAGGGAGAAGGGATGGAGGAGGCATGTGATGTCTCAGCAGGTGCAGGCCCAGGTTGGGTAAGACTGGTGGACTGGAGGCAGACAGAGCAGGTAGGAACATCCATGGAACTGAAGCGCAAGGAAAACCTGGTTACCATACCAAAACTGAAAGAGCAGCTAAAGCAGAACAAAGGCCTGGGCTGACCAACAGGTTGTCCAACGGTCTGGCGTCGAGTAGTGGTCTGAGCCTGGCTTTTATGGTGCAGGTAGATGAGACTCAGGTGACTATCCAATGGTCTGCACCTGCACACATTACACATTACACACAGACCCTAGTGAGGACTAAGTGGTGCATAGTTAGTTGATAGATGGATTTATGGAACATGATGCTTGTTTTCACATCTCTTGGTGTACACAGGCTGCACCTCTTCCTTTTGTCACCTCTTTCTTGTAGCAAGTGATCTTTCTTCTCAGCCTTGATTTCTTTTACCATTCCTGCAGAGGCTGGCGTTTGGGGAAGGTGTAGGCGATGTTGAATGTGGGGGGCCAGCATCATCTACACCATGGTCTGGATTATATTCTGTATCATCTTCAGATTCTGACACTTCCTCTAATACATCCTCACTATCAGTTTCCTGGCCTCTCTCTTCCTCACCAGTGTGGTGATCAAATATATGATCAACAGAGGTGCCAAAAGCTCTCACATTCTTTAGTTAAGTGGAGATATTTGTGTAAAAGTAGAAGTACTGACTCAACTCCTTTACTCAAGTAAAAGCAAGTACAGGTTCAGAATTTTACTTCAGTACAAAAGTAGAAAGTATAAATTCATTTTTAGCTTCGATGATACGCGATGCCTCTTTTGATAACTCAGCAAAAGGAAAAAAGTTTGTAGCACACAAAATAGGATTGTTTTCATCCTCTAAGAACCTGCACATTGCTGGTACAGAGAAAAACATCACTGAACAATTTTCCATTTCAGCAACATTATGAACATTAAACATTATAATCAACATGGAAACACTCATCTCTTCCAGACTACCAACATCTTTTATTGAGCTTCAGCAGAAGCTGGTGCTCAAAGGTCTTTGGATGAAGATGTGCCCTTGTGAGTCTGAAAATCAGTCCTGCAGCGCTAGAAAGCCTCTCACAGGCAGCTGAGGCAGGCAGGGGTGTGTTGAGCTTCAGTGACAAATTGCACACTGCTGGGAAAGATAGAAACGGAAAGACATTTGTTGTTGCGTCTTTTATGTCATGTCGTCATCCACGGAGGTTGAAACAAGTAACAAGCCAGTTTTGAGAATGTAAGGAGTAGAAAGTACAGATATTTGTGTTCAAATGTAGGGAGTAAAAGAAAAAAGTCATCAGAAAAGTTAATACTCAAGTAAAGTACAGATACCTCCAAAATCTACTTAAGTATATTAACGAAGTATTTGTACTTTGGTACTTCCCACCTCTGATGACCAAGAGCCTCACTTACACTATATCGGCCTGCCATGGTGCTGCCACACAATGAACTGTGAGCAAGGCCTCAAAAAGGCCTTATACATACAAAGCTATGAGAAAAGTTCATATTTTTGAAACTACGTTGCAGCTTTCCCTGTGACCTGCCAACAGGTGTTGTTCCCATGGGTGATAGACTCTACTGGGAAAAGGTTCCTGTAGTGGTTAGTGGTTGCCAGGGAACCCAAAGTGTGTTGTGTGTGTGTGTGTGTGTGTGTGCGTGTGTGTATGTGTCCATCTGACAAATGGGATTGTACCTGAGCTTAGTTTTTTTAAACTAACTGTAGTCTCCTCCATTAATTTCTATTGACTGTTCATTTTTGACCGGTAACACCAAGAGTGCACAAAAATGAAATAAAACACAAAAAATTGTATGCAATTTAACACAATTTATTTTCTGTGCTAGTGTCCTCTTTGTGGACAAATTCACAGGATCTTCGGTCAGTCTGATCAAATAAACTACATTTTTCAGAGATAAAACTTTTAAATCGGTCAAATTTGACCGGAACACACCGGAAGGGTTAATGGCCCGTGACCGTGCGTGTGTGTGTGCGCGTGCGAACCACGTGACCGTTGAGCATTTTGAACTTCCGCTGTCGTGACTCGATTCAGTTTTCGTATTTTAAATTCATCATGCTTTTTTTTGTCTTAGTTTTAAAATATTGGGACAGCTTTAATATAGTGAAATTATATGAGGTGAGACCAAAAGCAAAGAACGATTGATTAGAATTAAAAATGTAGATTAAGATTTAAAAAAAATAAATAAAAAAAAGAACAACAGTGGCAAATAAAGATAAAGTAAAAACAGTAAATATGTATCATATGTATAACGGGTTATGTCAAGGTAATTGTCATATTCAGGGATGCTTTAAGTGTGTGTCTCGGATTGAAACGCCGTTTTTTTGTTTGTTTTGTTGTCAATGCTCTCTGTCGCTCTCCTGATAATTCACTTGCTTTTCATTGCCGTCTAGTTTGTCAATTTTAGGGTTAATAAATAGATTTTCTTTAAGTATTCCAGTCTGATTTATAGAATGTAACCCTTCCAATCATATTCCTGTTCAAGGGGTTGGAGTACACAACCTGGCGTAAAATCAGAAGAAGACGAAGAAGAACATTAAGAATGGAACCGGAAGTGAAACTGCTGCTGGGCTGAGCAAAGCAAATTGAATTGGCTTGCAGCTATACTATGACTTTGGTATAGAGGATTATAACTGATGAAAATACACTATGCATGGACAAAATGGAGCATTGTGGACATTTTTTTCTTCTTCGGATGTAACTACTAAAGGTGGGACATCGTCATTAACTAACTGCTCTTGGTGGCTGTCGGCTAATGACAGCCAGCTAACTGAAAAAAAAAAGCTTCAGTTATGTTAGCTTAAATGAGCTTCCCAGTTATGCAGCTAATGTTAATGTTTTCAGTAATTCGTAGTCAAAGTTTTTACAGTCTAAATGCCGAGTGTATAACTCATTTCCACCTTTTGTGGACAAACGCCCACTTTGCACACTAATGTGTAAATGTTGTAGGTTAGCCAGTTAGCAAGGTTATGAGTAGCTAGTAAGCAAAACAACTACATCAACCAGAGGCAAACGAGCTGCCTAGAACCATTAACCGGGTTGTCTGGAAGTGTTTAGAAGTATCACGAGGTTTTGGTATCAAATATAAAACACTTTTCTCGACAGAAGCTGAACACGGAACTATCAGCACGAATTGTTTTGCATCGAGTGACAAAACAAACTTGGCAACACAACCGCAGCTTATTATTAGCTGTAACTAGCGTCAGTTGCAGAGGCTCTTTTTATGGTCTGGCTTTTCAACACAATGAAGCTATTAGATATGACTGTAACTATACGATGTTGGTAGTCTACTGTTTATTCTCAATGAATTTTCAGCGCTGCAGTGTGTTGCCATTCTGTATTTGACGTGATAGCTTGAGTGTCTCTGCTGGGAGATTGTTTTGCCCTGGCTCATCGCTCTCCGCTGCTTGTTGAGATTATCAACAGCCTTTTGTTCAAAGTGTAAACAGTCACATTTCAGTTTTTGTGAGTAGGTATTTGTTTACTGACCAATAGAAAGTCTCCACTCACAGCTAGCATGTGAAGGAATCACTGACAAAATGTCAATCTTGTTAACACAAAGTTGCATCATTGCTGTGACAGCTGAGTCCCTTCAGCCTGTCAACATGACACACATGACACTGATCAGTGATCTCTAATGTGGGATCTAACATGTTGAATGGCATATGATTTATAAAGTAGCTGTATGTGTGAATTGTCCACTACCATCCACTTTAAATGCAAGGTAAAGATTTACACTTGACAAATGGAAAATATATGATGCAAATCTTGATGCACCTTGCTTAAGTTTTTGCAGACTGCTTGCTGTTAGTGGCACTATATGCTCTTTGCAGATTTGTAAATATACTGTTGATGACTCAAAAAATGGAAAGTGAGAGCTTGAGCCAGACAACTACCTGACTTTTTTCTCATCACTGCACAGTTGGCCAATCATGGTGTAAAGAAGAACACTGGTAGCTTATAAATTGTGATATATTCTGTATTTATTTATTTTATTTTTTGTGACTCTCCAAATTGCAGTAAAATAGTAGTAAAATACAAATCACTGATGCAGCTTGTGTTTATACATAGCTAAGAAATGGCAGATTTGATGGAGCAGGATAGAATTTTACTGTCCACCAATGTAGAAAATCCAGTTTGCCAAAGAATGATGTCTAGTTTTCTGTTGTGATGTATCTTCTTCAATAAGTACAAAGTACTGATGCAGAAGGTATGATCAGGGTAGGCTGGTTATCATTAAGGTTTTATTGATACTACTACAACCCTCACTGATACTGCTTATAGACTAAGTACTCTTATGGTCACCAAACCTGCTATATTTAGTTTTTGACAGTAAATTCCAAATGACTGACTTTCTGTTGGGCTTCAGGATTGGGTTTGGGTTCATTGTGAGGACGTTATGTTTTGTTTCACCTTCCAAGAGAAGGCAGGTGTTGAAGAGGAAATGACATTCAATTTCCATTAGGTTTTTGAGGTCCTTATAAATAAACAAAATGAATTATAGTTGATCTAACTTTATTGCAGCATGCTAGTATTTGCATATAGTTGCTTTAAAATACAATTCTGAGGTTTAATCTTTTTTTTTTCTCTTCTCAAAAATCTCTTAATTCTCATCTTCCATCTTTAAAGTTTAAGTAATTACCAGCCTTATGTCACTTATGCCATGCAGACTCTTGCAGACACACAGATGTGGAAAGCATCTGTTGGCCTTCATGGCCGTAATTTCTTTCTCTGCATTTGAATGTTTTGGCATTAGTAGTCAGTCTCACACAATTTACTGAGAAACTGACTGTTGTGATAATAATGGCCCCTTTTAGTTTTGAAGCATTTACGCTTCTGTAGTATGGTTAGTTTAGAATTGTTCGTGTGATTTTTATATGACCACCAAATCCTGTTGTACTGTTTGGTACACTGTAAATAAAGCTTTCTGATTCGGACCCAGAAAACATATAATTTTTCCCCACCTTTGATACATGTACAATGTTGTGTGTTTTTGAGCACATTTTGCATCTCAAAAATGTGATTAATTCATAATAATAATAATAATGGTGGTGGGAGGCAGAGACCATTGTAGGAGGTTGGCTTGTAATGTGCCACCAAGACAAAGTGTGCTGTGATGCTTAACACAAACCAGCCAGAGCTCAGATTTTTTTGCCAAGCTAAAATGACAGCATCACTGTGGTCTAGTGGCTGAGTGTCTACACTGTTAAAACAACCCATATCATGTGATACAAACTGTTGGAGCAGCTTGTCACATTTGTCACATGACCATGTTCCAAGCTGCCATATTAGGGCTTAGAGTTATGGCCACTGAGTTTGTTTCATGCTAGTGATTAACTGATTATTGATTGATAAGGCTGGCAATTATTAGTTAAGCAAATTGTTTATGAGTGCATCCCTAGTTCCTGCAGTTATGCTCCTTGTATCACTGATTGTTACATGAAAAGGTCACCACGACATGTTTGAAATGCACAGATCTAGACTGATCTAGGAAGTTGTGCCCTACTAAATAAAAAAAAACAGGTTGATAAATGTCCGTACTTACATTTCCTTGAAACAGATTGAAATTAAATTCTCACTGAAATCCCTCAAGCCTGTGCCATAACAGTGTCCTCTCTTTAAACAGGTACTGGCACTTTTCCTACAATGGAGCTGAGAGTATAGTCAAGAAACGGAGATGGAAAAGGTGACGCCTCTTCACCTGACATCAGCGACTGCTTTAACACTCTCAAACAAAGACTGAAAGGAAAGGAAGGGAGTCCTCTGGGTTATAGGCTTGGGGTGAGACAAAGAGAAAACATCCCAAACCATAAGCTATTCTTTGAAAACCAGAGGAAATGGCTTTCTTGGACAATCCAACCATTATTCTGGCTCACATCCGACAGTCTCATGTGACCAGTGATGATACAGGAATGTGTGAGATGGTACTAATTGACCAGGATGTAGATCTGGAGAAGTGCCAACTTTCTCTGGTGCCCGGAAGCAGCTGTGGGTCAACTGGATCGGGCTCTCTGAGTGAGGGGGGCAGCAGCGTGATGGACAATCATGCCTGTGATCTCTCTCAGTCCATGGACATCACCTCCAGCTGGGACTTTGGCATCCGTCGGCGCTCTAACACAGGTAAGCTCATTTCCAGGCTCTGGTTTGTTAACAGGGCAGGCTTTCTGTCAGGCACACCTCCCTTCTGTCATGGCGGGGGCAACCAGAAAGTCTGTTCTGCTGTTGTTTGGAGGGGGTTTGTGTGTCTAATCTGGACCAGTGGCTTAGTAAATTTTATGCCAAATTGTGTGCCATTGAAAATTGTTGTCGCATAAGGTGCATCGTAATTCACTGTGAGAATTTCATTGATTGCTGTGACGCGAGTAGCACATTACATTGCCATTGATTATGGCCCGTCTTGTATGCCAGTGTGCAAGTAGTCAGTGTCAGATTTTTCTTTTCATTATATGTGTAGGTGACAAGTGACATTGCGATATAACTAATCAAGTATAACAAATGAGTAGGCATTTTTATTTTTGTTTAAATATTTGACAGTCGATAAAGATATGCAACATGACCAGAGATTTACAGAGGGAGCATAACAACGGTCCCCACCTGAAATCCAAAATGGGACATCACAATACCATCCAGTGTTCCTATACTACTAGGCAACAGGAACTGTGATTTTATTTCCTCCAGAATCACAAGATAACAAGAAAATTGGAAACCCACTGATTGAATCTCTCAATTTGAGATTCATTTGTGTTGCTCTGGCTGTTATTATGTCATCATTTGTCATTTGTGATAACATCATACTCACTAAATCAATTGCTGAGATGTTGTGGCAGCATTTATAAATGTTTTTAATGTCAGTTTAGCAGCAGCAGCAGCAGCAGCACTATAATCTACCTCAGCATACAACACTATAGCAGCGGGGAGTGATGAGATTGTTTCCTAAATAGTGGGTGAGTGCTCATTAACCAGTACAACCAGATCAAACTGAGTGTTTGACAACAATTCTGTGTGAGTTGGACTAAATCCTATAGTACTTTGTCTTTGGCACAGAGATTTAACACATTTTGTGTAAAAGACAAGAAAGTCAGAAAATATCCAGCAACTGACGCATTTTTTATACCAGGCAACGAGTATTGTCCTCATTTCATTTTCGAGGACAGTTTTTGCCAAAATACTAAGTCAGTAATGTGATGTTCTTGTGTTATATTTTGGCCTGCTAATCAACAGCAAATCATCGTATTAGTCAGCAAAAAGGAAAGTATATTGTGTCTAGGTTGGGATGTGGGTGTGTAATATATGTTTTTTTTTTATTCTGTACAGTGAGATTGAATTAAATGAAAATGATGTGAATTTCAAAATGCAACATGCATTTTGTTTGAAAGGTAAACATGGTTTTGGTGATGGAGGGAATCCAAAGGTAGACAGAATGTCTCCTTTTGGCTCCCTTGGCTTTTGTAGTGAGTTTGGTGAGTGATGGGCTTGGTTCTGGGTTGTGGGTCAAAAGCTGCCATCCTCTGAGACTTTTATACTTGAGATTGAATACTGACCTGTGGTGGCTGTCTCATCAGGACTCCAAGATAGCTGTGAGAAACCTGGGGCTGCTGGTAAGATAAGAAGGATGAAAAAACATCTTCTAATGAAGTGTACACTTTTGTTTGATATTAGCTTCTCTTGGAGTACTACACTACTTTGTGTGTGTGTGACTGTCTTAAAAAGGGTGAGGTCTTGTCAGTCAAAATATTTACATGGCAGAGAATCACCGTGTCTTCCTGTGAACAAATCCTCTTTTCCCGTCATTGCTCTCAGACCCAGTGAAAGATTTTCATACTGTGACAAGGAACTCTATGTTAACCGTTTGGAATGACCTGATGTTTTACATTAATTGGTAGTAAAAATGCTATCTGACCTTTATCTCAGTCACAAGTATAGACAAACACAATGAGCCTAAGCAATAACACATAAACAATTGTAATCTTGTGTATTTTTACTGAACACGACCTTAAAACATTCAGTGTATCAGGGAGCTGCCGATCATACCTGCATAACATTAAGGAATATCCTCCTTCGCAGAACTGCTTCACCTGAGCCAGATTATTAGAAATGGCTCACCAGGATCTTGGTCTTGTTTGGTCCTAATTATTTGGTCATGTGAGAGGTTTACAGTACCAGCCTTAAACCTCCCTAACTGCTTGCAGACTCATTGGGCTGCTCTGATATTATCACCCACCTTTGAAAAGTTAGAATCGAGGTGCGTATGGAAGCGTCTGGAACACTGGACGCTGTTGCCATTCAACGCTAAACTTGTTAGCCCTTGAGGCTAACATTCGCAAAGGATTTAAAAAAAAAAAAAAAAAGTTTAAATTTCACCTTGGATCCTTACTGAAGAAAAGATAAACCACAATGACGAACCATTTTTTCCCTGATCCAGACTTGGTTAGCTTTTGCTTTTTTTTTTTTTTTTGTAACTGCAAAATAAAGAAAATTAACTCATATTAGTGTTACAGCAATTTGTTACAGGATCCCTGTTTCCATCTGCTTGCCTCAGAGAACCTATGTGTGTCTACTGCAAAAACATGCCATTATTGTTTCAAAGTACAGGCCTGTAGTAAACTATTTTCTGGTAAACTTCAGGCTACCAGTAAAGTTTTTTTAGTTTGGTTTCTTTTGGAGAGCATCATTGTCCTCTGTGGTGTCTTGCCATGGACATCATACCTGCAATGAGTTGCATATGGTAGACTTGCGAAGACAAACAGTAACCAGCTCCAATGATTCCTTAGCTCTGGGCTTCTTTTTTTATCTCATTGAGTTTTCTGTATTGAAATCATCTTAGCTGGCTGCCCACTTCTGTGCAGAGTAGCAGCAACGCTACATTGTGTGTATAGGCAGTTTGTATAGCTGTGAACAAATAAATATCTAAACTCCTGAGACTGTTTGGTAACTCTCCAGCTTTATGTAAACTGACAGTCCTTAATGACTTTCTTAACATCTTATATTGTTTTTTTTGTGAGGCATAGTTTACCTCATCAAATGCTTGTCTTGGATAGCAAAATGATTTTTGTGTCAGATTATCTGATATTCACACTGATTTCATTGATTTCACTGCACATTTTAAGTCCTGACTCCACTTAGCTTTTGTTGATATCATTGACCTACAAACTATACTTTGAATGTTTAAATGATGAATGCAGTATGAGCATGAACAACACAATGGTTTATGTGTTATTCGTTGAAATTGTGTTTGAAACTCATGGGGATCCAGTCCGTCACAGAGAGAAGGATAACCACGCACACTCACACCTGCTACCAATTTGGAAACACCATTTAACCTGCAGTGCCTGTTTTTGGACTGTAGGAGGAAGCTAGAGAGCACCCAGAGAACTCACGCAGGCACAGGAAGAACATCCAAATTCCACCCTGAAAGATCACAGCTGGCCCAGAGATCTGTCTACTTGCGGGGATATCTAACAGTATTTTAGGACCAACCTATACTTACATGCAGCTGGAATTTCTTTATTTTTTCTTGCTACTGTCAATCTGAACCAAAGTGTACAGTGTACTGTTCTCAAGCTGAGGTTTACAAAATTATACATTTTTATTTTCACCAAACTTTTGTGAGTTTTGCTAGCTTGTATGTGATGGAAATTTAACTGTTTTTTTCCCCTTCTTAGCTCAAAGGCTTGAAAGACTAAGGAAAGAACGGCAGAACCAGTTCAAATGTAAAAACATCCAGTGGAAGGAGAGGACATCCTCCCAATCAGGTATGGTTCTTAGCAATTTTCAAATACATATATTTTTAGGAGTTGCATGTTACCAATTTTTGTTGCAAATTTTTCCACTTATGTCCTTTTCTTCTTTTAATAAACTTTATACATAACTTAGAATACATATAGAATAAATAGGCTGCTGAGGAATGTCAGTTTTGAGCTTTTTTTTGATACAATCTAAAATAGGATATGCAACACCTGTAAACCATATCCCCCCAGGGCCTTCAACTTGAGGGTTGGGACCTTTCCAAGGGGTCATATAACAAATATGAGACGATTACAGGGTTATCTGGGATAAAAAAACAAAAACAAAACAAAACTGAACACTCTTGGTGTCTTCACCGGCTTTTATCATTCGATAATAACGGTGTTGCCATCCAGACATGACGTCATCCCATTTATCTCAACATATCCTGGTAGTAAAAAGAAAGTAATAACTGTGCAGTACACAGCGTTGTAGGAAAGTTTTACACCCTCTAGAATTATCTATATTTCTGCATTAATACGTCAAACACCAAGTTTGCATAGTCCTGGGTTCTCACAGTAGTTCAGGGCTTTAAATTTACAACTCTACAGAGTAGCTTTTTTGCCATTTGATTGGCAGCAGTTTATGGGTTATGGTTCATATCTGCATTTTTTATACATAACACACAAAACATGTTACACACATATAGTTGGTGACAAAAAACACTTTACATTATATACATTATTTAAACTATAAAAATTCAATTCACATATTAAATGTGTTTAAAACATTTTATTGGCAACATACAGACAGCAGCACGCTGTCACTGCATGGCAGGCAGCACAGTTAGCGAGGGATTGCACAATCCAAGTGAGGCTCCACTCGCCGCTGCCTCACCGGCTTCTCTTCCAAACATGTGAATGGGAAATTGCAAAAATTCACCATTTTGAATAAAAAATAATCAAAATTGGTGAGGCTAAATGAAAAATTGTCCTGTCATAAAAGTGATTATTAAGCTGTCATTCTCTACTAGCCTTAGGAGATGCTTGGGGTCCAAGTAACTGAGAGACCGCTGTTGGTTTCTGTTGGTCCTGGTCTATATGTCAAGGTACATTAATGCAGTAAGTTGTGATAAAGGAGTACCAACTGCACTGTAAATACAATGTATAAATGAACATACTTTTCGTAAGTTGGGCATTTCTGTATTGGAAATCCTTTTTGTGATTCATCTCAGGAAATATTCTAATATTTTGAGATACTAGATTCCTGATTTTTATGAGCTACAAGCAATAATAATCAAAATTGAAGCAAAAAAGTTTGAAATATTTCACTTTACGTGTAATAAATAGGGAATATATAAAAATGTACCTTTCTGAATTAAATTACACAAAAAATCTTAATGTTCTAATTTTTGAGATGTAATAGTAGGTTTTTGTTTCAGTGACGCAAGGAGGGGAATCGTGGGGACAGACGTGTCCACTGAGTTTATGTGAGAGGAATAACTGCGAGGTTGTCACGCTATCTCTAATTGGCTCTGACCCTGATAGTCTCCCACCCTGAATAAATAGCCAAACATGTAAATTTTGTCTGATTTGTTTATTTAGATTCTCATTATCTGCGTTCAATACAAAATCTAGTTATGTTTTACTTCATATTTTGCAGAAATATAGACAATTCTAAAGGTACAACAGACTTTAAAGCATTACTGTACTTGAAGTAACAGTGATTGCTGCATGTGGTTTTTCCTCTCATGTTTTCTGTCCAGTGGAAGATCTGGGATCTCTGTTTGAAAAACGTGACTTTAAAGACAGGCCACGGACAGCTGGTACAAAATCAACCCTTTCATTGCGGCTGGAGCAGTGCCCCCAGCAGCTCAACAACCCCTTCAATGAATACTCCAAATTTGATGGAAAGGTGAGTTATTCTGGGTTCTGTTCCAGTTCTTTTGTTCCTTATAGCATCCTCTGTAAAAGAAATTCTCTCAAATGAGTCTGTAGCAAAGCAAAAAATGTGAATTGGTTTGTAGAGAGGTAAAAAACGGCTTCATGGATAATGCCTTTACCCCTCTCATCTGTTTGATTATATTAGTCCACCTAAGTAATGAAGCTTCTTTCACAGGTTTGCCTATTTATTATCAAAGTAGGATCTGTTTTCTGTATTTTTCAATTTAAAGTTTTGTTCCCAAATGCGTGAGCATAAATGTGATCTTAATAGCGACCAGAATAATCCCAACTATAATGGTAACACAATTTTTTGGCTTTACTTTGTCATTTATTGTATTTTATTGTAACTTTTGTTAAAGGATATTTCTGTATTTGCAAGGACCCACGTTGACATAATGCATTGTTTTGCACTTGACTCTGATCCTAACCTTCACAACTACGCGTTTTTCCCCACTCGAGATCTTGCGCATTTAAAGAAGCAAAATGACCGCTCCATTTGGCTAATTTCTGTACTTTTCTATCACTCTTGAAATCAAATGTTTTAAATAATTCCAGTAAAATGTTTTTGGAAAGCTACAGGGTGTTTGCTTCCCAGATATACCTTTATTAACATGCTTTTTTGTGTGACTTCTCATTTCCCTGAACCTTTACAATCGCGTTATTGGTAAACGTGCTGGGTTGAAATAAATCAGAATTATCTTTTAAGTGCCTCTTCACACACAGCCAGGTTGTAGGCAAGAGCCATGTCAGAAAAATACCAAATTACAATACACCTGCAAGTGATGCACACTGTTCCTATCACTACTATGACGCACTATTAAGAGGTCTATGCATCCTATAATTCATCTGCCCACTGCTAAACACTGGTCCAGCTTTTGGTGGGAGTGCACCTACAAGCTAGATTTAGCATGAATATTGTATGTTTCAACACTACATTGTTATAACAGAACCATTATACCTCCAGAATGTGTTTTCTACTGTATGGTTAATAGGAATCATCTCAGCGAGATTGTACCGGGCACAGTATTTGTATTTGCGTGCGTGACAGGATGCCCTGATCAATTAATCAAGCTTGTTGCAGTGAGCTCTGATAAACCTCTAAATGCTTGATTTTCTAATAGACACTTACTAAACAAACACCAATAGTAGATGCTTGACTGTTTGCTAATAAAGCAAATGTGTATTAGAAGTGATTCTATATATCTACCTTAATGTTAAATCTTAACATTATGATGGTTTACTTTTGCGGACTGGCTAGAACGTCCTTACAAATGATAAATATTGTCCCCACGATTGATTAAAACAGAAATTGGTGATTTCTGTTAAATTACTTTGCTTTGTCTTTCATCATCATTAAACCTGGAACAGTAGGCAGCTTGCTTTTTCTGTCATGATTAAATCAGAGTAAATACAGACGTTTTAGGTAGCCTATGCTGT